GATAAACAGATAAGAGCATATCCAATGATATAGTTCAAAATTATGCATTTTGCTCTTTCAGTTTACTTACTATGAAAATTAAGCATTCATTTAAGCATTAATTAGATGATCAGGAGAAGAGAACATCCTCCATATAATGATTAACCAATACTCCAGGAAATTTAAACAGCATTGGCTTAGCACTTTATGTCATGGCTGTGTTTGTTTCTGTAGTAGAAGTTGGGTTTGTTTGAATTTTTTCTCCCATGAAGGGACCACTGACATTGAGTTATTCTCAATATAAGAGAAAAAAAAAACATTTCCCATAAAGGTACCTTTAATATTTAGTTATTCCCACTATGAGGGGAAAACAAAAAACTTTTAAACAAAAACCAAGCAAACAACCAGAAAATTCTAAGTTCTGGGCCAGCTGCAGCATGCTCTAGCACTGGAGCCCCGCCCACCATTCCTTGGAATTCAGATGTTGCCTCTGGTGGGCCCTGGTCAGAAAGGGCTGACAGGCAGCTAGCAGCCAGAAAGCTTGGAGTCCAGCTGCCATTAATTCCTTTGACTCTTTCAGAGTAATTCTATTCTGAGTAGCCCGGTTATTTATTTATAATCTGCCTTACACAGGGTGAATGCATTCCATATGCCACTGCTTCCTTAAACTGCCTCAAATCTGTCATTTTTGCAGATCTCCAATCAATCTCAATATAACCCTGAGAATATTGATTATTTGTGGGCACTTGCTGCATAGTAACTGGAAACACCTGAAGTGGTATCTTTATGACCTTAGGCAACCATTCCTCAACGCCTTCATAAGAAAGTCTTTTTTTTTTTTTTTTTGGTTTTTCGAGACAGGGTTTCTCTGTGTAGCTTTACGCCTTTCCTGGATCTCGCTCTGTATACCAGGCTGGCCTCGAACTCACAGAGATCCGCCTGCCTCTGCCTCCCGAGTGCTGGGATTAAAGGCGTGCGCCACCGCCGCCCGGCCGAAAGTCTTTTATTAAACATTTCCCCTTTTTTTCTACTGGGAGGAACCTTTTTTCTTCCTTTATTATTTTGTCTCTGGAGCTATTCTATTTGTATCTGTAATTTTTGCAATTGTGCAGTCAATTCTTCAACTTCCCCTTTGTGTGAGTCTGTCTTGTCTGAAGGAGGAGGAGAAGGAGGAGATTCTCCTTCATCCTGGCTCTCCTCACTGTCATCTTCCTCTGGAGAAACATTCTCCTCCGATGACTGACAGCTGCTAGCCAGAATGTCCTCCTTCCTACTTGCATTTTCTACATCTGACCCAGCCTTTTCTGACTCTTCATTCTGCAGCAGCTCCAGAGCATTGGGAATTACATTACATAAAGACCAAGTCTTTAACGGTATAAAACTCCACTCTCTGATGAGCTTGCCTCAAAGCTCAACATGAGGAGTTGCCTGAAACCAGTAACAATGTCATTTAATTAATACAAAAAGCTCAGTAATCTCTTTTTCTTTCACTTTCCCTCCACTTCCTTGTAGTAAACATTTTAACAACTGCACATATTGCTGCTCCTGAGATAGGGAATTCCCCATGTCCCTGCCAAAATCCTGGAGTCCTCACTTAAACATGAGAGTACTTACCTCCAGTCCTGGGCACCAAATGCTGGTAAACTGAGTCATGCAGGATGACTGAGGAAAGAGAGACACTCAAGGATGTGGGTGAAGCCTTGAAAGGTTGCTGGGGTTCAATCCCTTGAGGCTGTCCCCCTGCTCTTTCAAGGCTTCATTGCATCCTTGAGTGGCATTCTTCAGTTCTCCTGAATGACTCAGTCTACCAGCAACTCAGCTTCATTTATCAATATTTTTGTCAAAGCTCTTTCATTTTATTTTACAAGATTTTTGTTTTATGTCATTTGTTGAGACTTAAAATATATCACACAATCTTACCTATAAAAACTCTATCATGGCCGGGCGGTGGTGGCGCACGCCTTTAATCCCAGCACTCGGGAGGCAGAGGCAGGCGGATCTCTGTGAGTTTGAGGCCAGCCTGGTCTCCAAAGCGAGTACCAGGAAAGGCGCAAAGCTACACAGAGAAACCCTGTCTCGAAAAACCAAAAAAAAAAAACAAAAAAAAAAACTCTATCATGACCCAGGCATGTGGCACATACCTTTAATCCCAGCAGTTAGGAGGTAGAGGCAGGAGGATCTGAGTTTGAGGCCAACCTGGTCTACATATCAAGTTATAGGACAGCCAGGACTACATAGAAAGATCTACCTCTGGAAAAAAAAAAAAAATCTGGGCAGTGGTGGTGCATGCCTTTAATCCCAGCACTTGGAGACAGAGGCAGGAGGATCTCTGTGAGTTCGAGGCCAGCATGGTCTACAAAGCAAGTCCCAGGACAGGCTCCAAAACTATACAGAGAAACTCTGTCTTGAAAAACCAAAGTAACAAAAACAAAACAAACAAACAAACAAACAAAAAAGGATGAACTTTCTTTTTTAAAGACTTTTTAGTTTTATTGTATGTGTATGAGAGTTTACCTGAACACATGTATGTGTACCAAATACGAGCTCAATCCTAGCAGGGGCCAGAAAAGGGCATCAGATTCCCTGGAACTGGAGTTAGAGAGTTTTGTTTTGTTTTTTTCTATACATTACAGTTTGCACTGTCATGTGGGCTCTGGGAAACAAATCTGGGACCTCTGCAAAAGCAGGAAGTGTTTTTAACCACTAAGCCATTACACCAGCCCCAAATTTTGTCAATAATTGTATTTAAAATAAATTCTATTAGCTGAAATTGTATTAGCTTGAGCTAAATACTGTCCTTATACATTATATTTGCATAGGTAATTATGTTTCACACAAGCTAAACTACATTATTCTCACTTTGCAAACAAGTTTTGAGTGGCTCAAGGTCCCATTTAGCCAACAGTAGTGCCAGGATATAACCTAGAAGTTGTGCCAGTGGGATGGCTCATCAGGCACTTACTGCTACACCTAAGACCTAAGTTCAGTATTTGTGCCAACATGGTGGAGAAAATAGACTCCTACAAGTTGTTCTCCACACACGCATTAGAAATAAAATATAATTAAAAAAATAAACCTAGAAGTTAACTCTACACTTTTATTTTTTTCAACCACTAAAGTCTGTTGCTTTCCCACTGTGCTTCTAGCTATTCTTTAAAAATAGGATATAAACTGTAGTAATTTTGAGAGAGAAATTGCTGAATGAGAAAGCAGATGGAGAGACGCTGAAGTGCAAGCAATTGCACCTTGCTTTGCACGGGAAATTTTCATTGAACACCTCAATGAAAAAGGAAAATATAACTAGATAGCAATACCAACTCCTAGCCTATAAAAGTCATCTCATAAGGAGAAAAATAACAACTAGGGTTTTTTGTTTTTAGCAAGCTTGAAGATGCACAAATCTCTTTAAAGCCTGCCCTCCAATGATATGGGTGGGAAAAATATCTTTACTTCCAACAGACCTAACAGTCCAAGCAAAAAGATTTCACAAGCAGAGGGCTAAGAAATGAACACCAGTGATATCTAACTGCCTTATAAAACCTTGAGTAAAAAAAGAAAGGGACTTATTTTTAAGAATTTCTCCGGATGGGTGTCAGCATTTTATCTTTCATCTTTAGCCTTAAAAACAGAAACTAACCCAGGACTTTTCAAGAGAAAGAGAGACTCTTCTCTGCAGAACAATGTCCCAAAAACCTTCCCCAGAACAGATCTGGAGTCCAATAGCTCATGCCTTTTCTATGGAATAGGTCATCTTTCTCAATCATGTCCATTCTCCCCAAACCAAACTGAAGAGGTCCCTCCTCATTTCTACATGACTTTTAAGTGTATTTCTTTAGAAAACTAATTATTATTTTAGTGTAATGATTTTTCTCTAGACTAAGGAATTCCCAGGAGGCCAAGCAAGACCCACAGCTACTCTTCCTAATTTTCAAACTTAACACTTGTAGAAGTATTCCACATAAGTCTGCTGAACAAAGAAAGACCTAAGCATTTCAAAAGACAGAGTGACCTTTATGGGAAGAATTATTATTATTATTATTTTTTAAAGACAGGGCTATCCTGGATCTCACTCTGTAGACCAGGCTGGCCTTGAACTGACAGAGATCCCCCTGGCTCTGCCTCCCAAGTGCTGGGATTAAAGGCATGTGCCTGCGCCACTGCCACTCAGCGGAAGAATTCTTTTATCAGTATAAAACCTCCTAACATCCTATGCCTTCAACTCTGCTCCTTTCTCTTTAGGAATTTACCATCAGCCACTAGGTCAAACTGAATAAAACAGTACAGTATCCTGAGAGGTGGAGAAAGAATTTCTCCACTTTGGTTTACAACAACTTCTAATGAAGTACGTGGAGATTTAGCTTGAAGGATCTAGAACATAGTGTAGAACTTCAAGAGCTTGTATTGAGAAACCAAGACACAGGACGAAGCTTGAAATGCTTACATTTTGCATTTAAAAGTAAAAGGCAACAAGGAAAATTATTCCACATTTTAAACGTCCCAAAACAATGATTAGTAAGGAACATCACTTAATTTACTTCTATTTAATAGACAAAATAAAAATAATGACAATCAGCTGGGCGTTGGTGGTGCATGCCTTTAATCCCAGCACTCGGGAGGCAGAGCCAGGCGGATCTCTGTGAGTTCGAGGCCAGCCTGGACTACCAAGTGAGTTCCAGGAAAAGGCACAAAGGTACACAGAGAAACCCTGTCTCGAAAAACCAAAAAAAAAAAAAAAAAAAAAAGTAATAATAATGACAATCTTCAGTTTAAAAAAAAAAAAAAATTAAGATCCGGGTTATAGTCCTTAACTATAGGAGAGAAAATCAATGGCCTGAGTCCCTTCTCTAATACTTGTTAGCCAAACCACTTTCCACAATTATCTGCTTAAAAAAGCCTTTGAAGGATAAGGAAGTTTTCTTCTTCTTCAATTTAAGAGAATTCAAAACAACCCCCCAGTGTAAGCTCATTACCATGGAACCTCAATCCATGTTTCATAAGCCACTCTTTGGTCACCATGTTACCTTGGTTAGAGTCCTCTGGGTCTTCTATATGAGCAATGACTTTGTTGAGATAAATGTCCTTCTGTTTTTCTAGATCTGATTGTGAAAACATCCTTGAAGAAAGCAAACAAAGAGGAAAAATAGTCCATTAGAACCATGAATACAGTGCTTTGGAGAAAAGTCACATATTGATGGAAGTTAAAACAACGAACTTTCAGAGGCAAATTCTCTCTTAAGATCCAATGACAAGCCAGGCAGTGGCGGCGCACGCCTTTAATCCCAGCACTTGGGAGGCAGAGGCAGGAGAATCTCTGTAAGTTCGAAGCCAGCCTGATCTACAGAGCAAGATCTAGCACAGGCACCAAAACTACACAGAGAAACCCTGTCTCAAAAAACCAAAAAAAAAAAAAGATCCAGTGACAGAGAAGGCAATGTTAGTACAAACCAAAATCAAGTATAGAATTTAGAAGTAAAGGAAGAAAAGAAATGTAATTCCTGATAACATAGAATATCAGAAGGTAAAAATAAAGTAGCTCATAAAGAGCAAGCATTTATTGAGTAATTCAAGTTTAGGCAACTTCACTGAGCCACATAGAAAAAGTTGGACGAGATTAAGGCAATTATGATCTTGGCAAGAGCAATTTCTGGTCCTCACTCATATTGATAGCTCTGTATGGAGTCAGTGGATGAAAATATTGACAATGTAAGTTTACTAGTATTCCAAGTAGACTGATTTGTGTGTCTTGGTTTAATTTCACTCTTAAGAAATTCACAAAGTGGGGCTGGAGAGATGGCTCAGCAGTCAACAATGCTGGCTGCTCTTCTAGAGGACCTGTGGTTCAATTCCTGTTACTACCCACATAGCAGCTCACAACTGTAACTCCAGTTCCAGAGGATCTGACACCCTCTTCTGGCTTCTGTGGGCACTGTATACATATGGTATACAAACCTACATAGGTAAAACAGTATATACAAAAAATAAAGATAAAATCTCAAAAAAAAAAAAAAGGAAAAAACTGACAGACCTTCCTCAATTATGTGAAAAAAGACATAAGATAGAACCGACAAAACAAAAATTTAGTGGCAAATAATCTTATTTGTCATTTTTAAAATGTTGAAAGCAGAATAAATATGCCATAAATACATAATAAAAATAAATAAAACCTTTTCACAATTTTATTGTAAGTAAAGCAATTGGATTCAACCTATAAAGTAGCTTTTCCAGTACATTCGATTGAAAATGCCCATGTACAGATACTGCCATCTCCTGGCAACAAAAAAGTAAACTAAAAAGATGCCTCAAATCTGCATCCCTAACTAATATTTGTCCCCAATTGTATGCAAGAAAAGAGAAGTAAGACTAAATGATTTTCTAAGTAATTTTAACCTTTTTTGGTTAATATTCTGACTTCTTATCAAATATGTGATCAGGCCTCCTCATACATGGAAGACATTTTGTACTTATATAGTGTTTTACTAATATGTCTTTTTTACTTTCAAAATAACCTTGTGAGGCTGTAGAGAAGGCATCATTAGCTTCATTTTACTGACACAGAAACTGAAGTGAGAGATTATTTGAGTTGCTCAAGGTAACACAAATAGGTAGCTTAGGAATTTCAAGTTTGCTTATTCTTCCTGCAGGATTTCCTGCCCCCCCCCCCCCCCCCAACACACACACACTTTAAGATATTGGGAAGGGAAGAAAGAAAGAAAAGAGAACCACCAGAAACTAGAATGGTTATATGTTACATTACCTGGTTCTGGTTTGGAGAACAGGAATGACTTTGCCTAGTCTTCTCTCGCCTTTCACCTCCCCAGAATCCTTGTCAAAAGCATGCTGATTTGTTGTCGTTTTCCACAGCAGAAAGAAGGAATACAGTAGGAAAGATAATTACTAGTTATAAGTAATTTTTATAAACTTCAGCTGTATCATATAGCTGAGAATATAATTTCTTTGTTGTTTTGTTTTTCAAGACAGGGTTTCTCTGTGAAATAGTCCTGGCTGTCCTGGAACTCACTCTGTAGACCAGGCTGGCCTTGAACTCACAGACATCTGCCTGCCTCTGCCTCCCGAGTGCTGAGATTAAAAGCATGCACCACTACTGCCCCCAGCAAACTTCATTCCTTTTTTTGGGATTAGGGATTGAAGCTAGTACAGGCTAGTCATATACCCTACTGCATAGTTAAGTACATAGGAACTCTTTCTGAATGAAAATAATTTCATTTCTACTGTGTCTTGAAAAAAATGTACTTACTCTGTTTGATGAACTGGACACAACTGGAGTCCTCACTTCACAACCTGATTTATGTGATCCACTATTTTTCCAGGACGATCCCCTGTTAGGTACCTCTGAATGGTTGGAGATCTGAGAGAACACAGGAGTAGGTTTCTTACTTTCAGGTATATTTTTATCAGAGGCAGTTTGTTCGGTGTTATTGTTTGAAGGAGAAGAAAGCAGGGGCCCATCCCAAGCAGAGTTACTGGGACTGACCCCTTCCACTTCAGTGCAACGTTTATTCTCACTAGGATGAAGATCATCTTCTCTCGGCTGTTCCCCAAGGGAGGCAGGTTTTTCTTTGGAGGAATCGATCTTGTCCTTATCAAGCACAGGATCACAAACTGTTGGATTAAATGGTGCAACAACAGTTACTTTTATAAGATTCTTTTCAAGTACAAAGTGTCTGTTTAATGATTTACTAGGAGTTGGTCCATGACCAACTGATGTACTTAGTTGAGGTAGTTTGAAGAAGCCAGGGGTCTCAGCTGCTGGTCCCAAGCTGTACAAAGAATTTTCTTGAGGAGTAACAGGTAGAATTTGACACTTTCTCTGTCCATACTCATCATCATCCTTCAAGAGCATCTCAATCTCTTCCTCTGTGAAACTGAAGTGGCCATCATCTTCTTCCCCATCAGAAAACTCCAACAAGGAGTCATCCAATTCATCTTCATCCGAGGAACCCCAAGAAAATGAGGCATTGTCTTTAGGCAAAAGAGAGGTACCAGAAGACTGTTCAGAGGGCAATAGTGAGCACGTCATATCTGGAAAAATATGAGGAAGTTTTGCTGAAGAACAAGAAATACCTTAAACCAACTCCAATCTACTATATAAATAGAGAGAAGCATCCTAGTATCCCAAATCCTGTGCCTGCACTGTGATTTGTAACTTGAGAAATAATTAAGATATTATCCTTACCAGCATTATGGAAATAAATGTTTGAATAAGATACATTTTTTTCTGAACATAATGACAAAAATTAAGATGAATAATAATCAGAGTTGGTGAGGCTGTAAAGACAAGCACTCACTACTAGCTAGGAGCATAAGTTAATATACTATTTTGTGAAGAGTAACTTGGCAATATCATCTGATCTAGCAATCTCACTTCTAGAAATTTATCATATAGAACTACCTACTACAAATATACACAAAAACACACAAGGATCTCCAAAGCAGTATTATTCATGAGGCAACCTAAAATGTCTACTTCTAAGAGAAATGTTTAATAACATCATGAGACATTCGTGTCAAAAACTTTCAACTATTTAAAAGCACATTAACGTAGCTTTATATGTACTGCCATGGATGACTATAATATACAAGCAAAATGTTTTAAATGTTTCTTTAAAATGTTTAGACACAGAGTTTACACTCTTTTTTTTTTTTTTTTGGGTTTTCGAGACAGGGTTTCTCTGTGTAGCTTTGCGCCTTTCCTGGAACTCACTTGGTAGTCCAGGCTGGCCTCGAACTCACAGAGATCCGCCTGGCTCTGCCTCCCAAGTGCTGGGATTAAAGGCGTGCGCCACCACCGCCCGGCCCAGAGTTTACACTCTTAAAAAAAGCAAACACATATTACTTTGCTGTTCTGGTGACTGAACCTGGAGCCTCATGCATGCAATTCCAGTTCTCCACACCGAATTACATCTCCAGACTATTTTTTACTTTTTAATTGCAGATAGTGTCTTATTAAGAGGCCCAGACTGTACCTAACTTGCTCTGTAGCACAATCCTCCTGCCTCAGCCTCCACAGAAGCTGGAATTCCAGGCCTGTGACCAACTGAAATATGTATTATTTTTTTAAATGAAATTAAATTTAAAAAAAAAAATTAGGAGAGAGGGAGGTAGACAAATGTTGCTGGGTATAGTAGTACATGCCTTTAATCCCAGCACTCAGGAGGTAAAAGCAGGTGAATGTTACAGGTCAGCCAGAGCTATACAGTGAGACCCTGTTTCAAAAAACAAAAATTAAAATGTCTTCCATACTGTGCGGAGCTGCTGGAGCAATCTCTGCCTTTGCCACGAGATCAAATGGAAAGAGGTGTCAGCTCCTGCTGGCTGTTCCTTTCAGGAGACTTGTCAAAGTGATTGACTCCCACCTTCCTGCAGGCACAAAGAAAATTAAAGGATCTTCTCATCACTTTCAACTCTGCTAATTACAAAGTCAACTGCATTATGCTTCAAGGTGTTCCATCTATTAATTTTGATCTTGATTTTTTTTTTTTTAAATACCAGCAAGCTGGATTATTTTCAGTGAAGAACACCAAAGAAAAATCTTTAGAAGAAAAAATTATGCAACTAAGAACTGGTTTAGTTCCTCCCAACAACTGGCACTTTCCTAAGACTACTGTCTGCTTTAGTGGGGTAAATAAGGCCTGGGAGTCCTAAGACCTGGCTCTGTCACTAACAAGCCCTATCCATTAAGTCACTTAGCCATCTGGATTTGTTTCCTGTAAAATGGAAAAGGGTTGGAGAAGGAGGACTAGGCCATGTCAAAGACACTACCAAATTCTAAAAATTATAACTATACCAAAAGCCAACCAACTCTCTTCCTCATTTTTAATATATATAAAATACAAAGAAAAGTTGGTGGTGGTGGTTCCAGAACTCGGGAGGTAGAGGCAAGTGGACCTCTGTGAGTTCGAGGCCAGCCTAGTCTACAGAGCAAGTCCCAGGACAGTCAGGACCATTAAACAAAGAAACCCTGTCTTGAAAAAGCAAAAACAAAAAACAAAACAAAACAAAAAACCAAAACAACAAAAAGTCAACAAAGATATAAACACAAAAATTATTGATTATTACCAACCACAGGGTCAAGCATCAACATTGTTCTATTCTTTTTCTACTTGAATGTTTACTTGTATAATTGAAACCTAGTGTGGGGGTAAGGGATATGGCTGAATAGTTTAGTGCTTACTTAGCATACATAAGGGGGCTGAGATTAGAGGCACACACCACCACACTTACTTTAAGTGATACTGGGGATCCAGAAGAAAGCTTTGCTCATACTAGGCAAGTGCTTGTTTTCTGAGAGCCTCAGATAGGTCAGGCTGGCATCCAAATCACTATGTAGTGGAGGATGATGGCCTTGAACTGATCCTCCTCCCTCCACCTCCCAAGTGCTAGGATTAAAGGAATTACCTCTACACTGGCTTCCTTTCTAGCTTTTTACATTGTGAAATTTCCTTCACTTTACTGCCCTCTCTATATCAGACCTTCACTTTCAGCTTTAATTCATGTATCCCTTCAGCAATAATTTTCTGAACTACATAGTATGTCTCTACGATTTTTAAGAAATAAATATATGATTCCTAACCTCCCAGAACATTAATTTTGCTTGGTTTTTTGGTTTGGTTTTTTGGTTTGTTTTTCAAGACAGGGTTTCTCTGTGTAGTCCTGGCTCTTCTGGAACTCAATGTGTAGACCAGGCTGACCTCAGACTCAGAGATCCACATGCCTCTGCATCCTAAGTGCTGGGATTAAAGGTATATGCACCATCATGCCTGGCAACATATAATCTTATTAGCAAGAACACCAAAAATTAAGTTCTAATATGAGATAATATAAAATGGTATAGACAATAAAGCACTAAAGAGAAAAGGGGAGAAAATACAGCATTTTATAACTAGAAAGAACCTAGTTATCTCAGAGTGATGGGCCAAGCATGGTGGTGCAAGCCTTTAATCCTAGCAGAGAAGCAGGCAAACTCTGAGTTCAAGGTCAGCCTGATCTACATAGTGAGCAAGCCAAAGCTACAGCCTCAAAACATATCCTGTATCAAAAAAAGAAAATAAATTTTTGGCCCACTGACTAAGCTATTTTATTGATTAAAATCATCTTTTTTGACAGCAGTAACAGTGCTTATTTTTAGAAAAGTGAAAGTATTGTTTTTTAAGTTTAAGAAACCTTGTGCCTTGGGCAGTGGTGGCTCACACCTTTGATCCCAAAATTTGAGAGGCAAAGACAGGTGGATCTACCTTAAAATGCATCAGAAGCTGCCCTTGATCTCCCAGGTGTCGCCCATCATCCAAAGACTCAAAAGTGACTCTTTTGAGCTTATCTCATAGTGTCCCAAAAGGCAAAAGCATCCAAACAATATTATATACATACAAACAGAGAGACAGGAATAAATTTTAACTCACACAAATCATTCTCTCTGTAAACTCTCCTGAACTTCGAAAATTCTTTTTATTATAATGTAAAACAAGTAAGTAGGCCTGGCATGGTAGTGCATGCCTTTAATCCCAGCACTTGGGAAGCAGAGATAGGATCTCTTTGAATTTGAGGCCAGCCTGGTCTACATGGAGAATTCCAGGACAGCCAGAGATACATAGAGACCCTGTCTCAAAACAAAACAAAACACAACAACAAAAACTTGTAACATAATGGACCTCCATAGTCACCACTCACCACCCAAACTACCAACCCATTGCTGATCTCTCACTCCATTCATTTCTCTCCTTTACTGGATTATTTTGAAACAAAGCTCAGGTATTACATCATTTTATTTATAAATAAGAATTCTGTATCCTAAAATATCCTGCTCAGGAACTGGAGAAGTGGCTCAATGGTTAAAAGCACTGACTGCTTTTCTAGGGGACCTGAGTACCATTCCCAGCACCCACAACTGTCTGTAACTCTGGTTCCAAGGGATCCTATATCCTCTTCTGATCTCTGCAGGCACCAGACATACATGATGCACAGACATATATACAGGTAAAAATCTATACACATAAATTAATAAAAACTTTAAACTCTTGTTCAAATTTCTAATTATCTTATTCATATTTTTCAGGCTTAAGGAAAAGCAAACCAAGCAGCATCTCAATCAGGTCTAAAACTGCAACAGGCTGATATGTCTTCTAAAGATTTCCTACCTTTTCCCCCCACTGCAATGATCTGTTAAAGAAAAGTTTCTATGAATATATACACATATCATGAAATTATAAAAATATTCACAACAATAAAAACCACCAAATTCAGGAGAGCAAGAACTTCTGGTCGTAGCATGGAAACAAGAATGGCAAGGAGACATGGATCAGACTTTGTTACTTTTTGTTTTGTTTTGTTTTTGAGACAAGGTTTCATGTAGCCCAGGCTATCCTGAAACTTGCCAAGGATGTAGCAAAGGATGACCTGAATTCCTGATTCTCCTTTCTTCCTCTGCCTCCCAAGTCCTAGAACTATGGGAACTATACCAAGAGTTTTATTTGTTTTTTAATCAGTAACAAAAAAATCCAACAAATATGGAGATGGAAAATAAACTTGGACAGTAAGTATAAACATTACTATGCTACCTTGCTTAAGTTTTTATATGTTTGGAATATGTAATTTAAAAAATATTTTTAGGGAATACCTAGCTAGCTCAGTGAGTAAAGGTACTTGCCCCCAGGCCTGGCAATCTGAACTCAATCTCCAGTACCCAGGTAAAGATGGAAGAAAAGAACTGACTAGGTTTTTTGGACCTCTACTCCCACACCATGCACATGCACAGAAACTCACACACCATACACTATAGAAATCAATTAAAAAAAAAATTGGAGCCAGGTGGTGGTGGTTCATGCCTTTAATCCCAGCACTCGGGAGACAGAGGCAGGCAGATCTCTGAGTTCAAGGCCAGCCTGGTCTACAGACCAAGTTCCAAGACAGCCAGCTGTACAGAGAAACCCTGTCTTGAACAACCAAAAAAAAAATTTTGATTTTGATCTTTTTACGTGAGACAAGGTCTTACTATGTGGTATCCCTGGTTGGCTTGGTACTCACTATGTAGACCAGGCTGGCCTTAAAATTATAGGTGGGTGTGGTGGATCTCTGTGAGTTCAATGTCAGCCTGGTCTACAGTTCTGGGCCAGCCAGGGCAACAGAGACCCTGTCGCAAAAGGAAAAAAACAAAAAACAAAAACAAAAACACAACAAAAATTAAGTTATAAAGCCAGTGTAAAAAATACACCAAATACTCCCCAAGTCTCAAATATTTTCCCCCTACAAAATAGGAAACTTCACAGTATATCAGTCTCACAAGGTTTTTAACAAGAATCAAGGAAGACGATGAACATAAGGCACTTAGTACACTACAGATACAATTAAGAAGTGGTGGCTACGGTTATTATTTCAGCCCACAATCTGCATCTCAAATGAAGAATCTGAAGCACAGGAATGGTAGGAAAAAGGCTAAACTGGTAAGAAACTTCCCCCAGATCTATTTCAGAAAGTATTCAGTATAATCTACTTAGTGAAGCATTTAACCATGTTGTCACTAAACCAGACTGGATGGATAACTGAAGTATCAGGTAAAGTCTTCAAATTAATAGCCCCCAAGTATCTTTGTATTAGAGGCACTGGGCAAAAATTCAAAGACCTCATTCATTTGAAGTCTCTGAACATCAATATAAATGAGCCCAATGTCTGTATTCCTATCACTTAGGAGGGCGAGTTCAAGGCTACCTGAGGCTCCATTTCCAATTCCAAACCAGTAAGGGCTACACACAAGAACTGTGGGGAGGGGCAGTGTTTGAGATAAGGTCAATTTGAATCTTCAAGGGAGGAAACCCTTCAATAAAACTGAAGTTCTGGCAAGGCATGGTGGTACACACCCTTAATCTCAGCATTTGGAAGACAGAGGCAGGCGGATCTCTGAGTTCCAGGCTAGCCAGAGGTACATAGGGAGACCCTGTCTCTAGGTCCCACAATTACTTCTCTCCCATGCTACCATCACCGGCACTTGGCACTTGCCTGGTAAATCCTTTAAATATGGAGGCTTCTCTATTTTTAAGGGAAGAATATTTTCCTATTTCCAAATTCTCTCAATTCTTCTGCTCCACATCTCTGTGTGACCCTATTCTGTCCTTCCACGTCTCTCACCTGTCCACCCCCTTCTTCACACTTTAGTGTACCACCCCCTCTCTGTTCTCTAACCTCCTGGTTGCAACCTCAGAAACTGGTTCCCTACCTATTTTTATCTTACCTCAAAAAACCTATTGCCTTAGAGCACAAAGCCTCATTCTATTTAGGACAGTAAAACTCCAGTGCCAGAGGTATATACTACACATCCTCTTTCAAGGTTCTAAAACCAAAACCATCACCAAACTGGGTCTGATATGCAGGGCCAAAAGCAAGGATCATTTTGCAAAGGAGGGGACTTCTCACTGGCCCTTCAAGTTCCAATCTCTCCGAAACACAATGCATGTGAAGCACACAGCACACACACAGGAAAGCTTTATCACTAAAATGGACCCAATTAAAAAAACAAAAACAAAGTGAACTGAAATTATCAGAAAGAATTGTGCAACTCCCTCTGTGGTAACTGCAAACACTGTAAAAATGGCAAGACAACTCCTTTGGAAATCTCTGCTTTAGGTTAACAACTCCCGGGAGTAGGGTGCCAAGAGTCCCACATCGGCCCAGGCAGCAGGATTTTTCTGAACTGAAGCAACAGGTTTCTTTTTATAAAAATGGTCTGTTAAAGCTTGGGGCCCCTAACAACCACGGAAAAAAAAAAAAAAAAAAAACACAGAAATGAGAGCAGCCAGTGAACTGCGTCCTCTCTTGGTGGCCCTCTTCCGGGCTCATCCTGAGATGTCTGGAGCGTTCCCTAAGGCCGGCCCTGGATGACACAGAGCAAGGGTGGCCCAGGGATGCCTTTCCAAGGATCCCGCCTGGCCTCCCCTGGAGGGACGCTGCCCCCCGCGCCCAGGGCCTTTGCACTTCCCTCCTCCCACTTGTGCGAGCGAGTACTCGCCTCCCCGCGGAGGGCGGGAGAAGCGCGGGTTTTCCCCGCGCCCCTCCCCCCCGGGGGCGACCCAGGTCCCCGGCGCCTCGGGCGGGCGGTGCACCCAACCTCCGGGGACAGACGCCCACAGCCACACCTCAGCGGGCGGCGGCCCGCGGTCGCCGGGAGTGGGGTCGTCCGCTCCCGCCCCGACGCGCCGCGGGGAGCCCGCCACCCTCGGCTCTCCCTAGCAACACCCACCGCGGCGCGAGCACCGGGCCAGCCGGGCCCTTCCCCCACTGGCAGGGCCGGCCGGCGACCTGGCTCGCGGCCCGAGGACCTGACAGCAATCTCCCTCATCGGGACGGGGGGCGTCACTCGCCCACGGATGTGGAGGTGGGGGACAGGGACCACCTCCCCGCCCGCCATCACCTCAGGAGCGAGAACCAGCCCTTCCCTCAGCGAGACGAGGGCCTCCCTACTCCTCGCGGGGGCAGACGATGTTCGCGGCCCCGTGGAGAAGCAACAGGCGACCCCGGCCCTCCGCCCCGACGACGAAAGCCGACCCTTACGTCCCTCCCGCTTTTCACCTCCGGAAGCCGGGCCAAAGCCTGGGCGAACGGCTGCACCTCACTCCGCCCCCTGCGCCATTTTATCGCCCCCTTCTCGACCTCCCCCACCCCGAGGCAGCAAGGCCAACACCAGGGGGGAGGGCAAGCACACAGTGATTGGCAGGAAACCGCCCCGCCCCTGAGAGGGTTGCGTCCCCGGGCAGCCTGCCCAACCCCGCCTTCCGCCCCGCCTACCCTGCCTGATGGCTCCGCCCCTTCCTGTTTCATCGATCCGTTCGACACTCTGCTGCTCCTGACTGCGTGCTACTCCAGGGCGGAAGAGAATCTAGGCCTAGCAAGCGGAGCTACGAGCTCAGCTGATGCAACCTGAAGGGACTAGCGTGACAGTTCCCGGCACGCGGCGACGGCGGCGAACGAGGAAAGGGCGCGGGTGCCGGCTGAGCGCGGGAAGCGGAGAAAGCGGAGCCATGGGGGATGCTCCTAGCCCTGAAGAGAAGCTGCACCTTATCACCCGGAACCTGCAGGTCGGGCCTTGGGGTTAGAATGCGCCGTTGGGTCCTGGGCACTCTTAAGTCCAGTGATCCCGAGCCCAACCCTGGGTCCTAAGTGTGTAGGGCCTCGGTCTCCGCGCCCGGGCGGTTCTAAGGCCATCTCTACCAGTCAGCCGATCAGTAAGTTAGTCAGGCAGCCCATTCCCAGGGTGCAGAAGAAACCACAGCGGACTCACCTTTTGTGTGCACCTATCTTGTGCTGTAGCCATTCTGGAGCTAAGAACCCCATTCCACCCGTCCTATGATAAGCCTGCCGGCACAGTGCTAGTCTCTAGGGAGTCAGGGCCGTATCCTCCCAGGGCTCTTGTGGAGAGAACTAGAAATTTAGAACGACTCAGAACTCAAAACACTAAAGGTAAAGCCGGTACTGAAAGTTCCTGAGACTGGAGTTCTGAATAGAAATGCGGGAGGGTGGGCTGAAGAGATGGCTCAGAGGTTAAAAGCTCTTGCAGAGGACCCGGGTTTGGTTCCCAGCACCTGTGTCAGGCAGCTCAACACGGCCTGAAGCTTCAGAGGATCTGACATCCTCTTCTAGCCTCCATGGATACATACACCCTTAAGAAATAGAGAAGGCTTACTCTGAGGAAGTGTCCTCCACACTGCGCCCAACATGTGCATCTTCCCTGCCCTGCCTAGGTGCTGCTTTTGTTGTCAGCAGCTACAAGTGTAGGGGCTAACCAGAAAAATCCCGAGAAGCAATTTCAGGCAGAGGGAAGACCCAAGGGGAGCAAGAAAATTGTGCTTCAGAGAGAAGGCTGGGGGTGCAGCTCACTTGGTAGAGCAACTCTGAGGGTCTGGACTCAGTCTTCGGGGCCCTCACATTCCCTTGCTCCAAGAAGACTGATTTATCTGGAGTGAAGCAAGCAACGCGCCGTTCAGACAGACCCTTGCCCGCAGAACTGTCTCCATCCTTGCTCTTAAGACCCTTGCCTCTCATGTTCCTCCACAGCACTTATCACTGTTGTTTGACTTGTTCGTTTAGGAGAGGCAGGTGGGAGCCAAGTCATGAGGGCCCTGTAAATTCTTTTACAAGCCAGATAAAGACTGGATTAGACTTACGCTAAGGGCAGTTGCACCACCAAAGCGTCTTTCTGACCTTTATTTTTTTTTTTAAGCTGTAATGCACTGTTCCTGGGTGTGGTGGTACATGCTACCTGTAATTTCAGCACCTGAGAGGCAGAGACAGGGGGATCACTTCAACCTGGAGGCCAGCCTAGTTTACATAGCTAGCTGGGGCTGCATTCGGAGATGCTGTCTCTAAGAACATTCACCCCTTTAAAGGGTACAATTTAGTCAATTTTTCTATACACACAAGGTCGGGGTTCGAGAACACTTTTATTTCCCCCAGAAGATGTGAACCAGCCTGAGCGTGGTGGCACATGCCTGTAATCCCAGCACTTAGGAGGTGGAAGCAAGATCAGGAATTTCAGGTCAGCTTGGGCTCCGTGAGACCCTGTCTCAAAGAAAAAGAAAAACTTGTACCATTAGCTATCACTACCATTACCCACCCCTGCCCCCCAGCCCTAAGGAAGTAATATCGACTTTCTGTCTCTAAGTATATACCTCTCCTGGGCAGTTCCAATGACTAGAATAATATAACACGTGCCCATTGGTATCTGCTTCGTTCACAGACTAGTGTTGTACAGACACATCTGTGTTTTTGTTCCTAGTGGATTTTCATTCCTCGTATTTTCTTTTTCAGCCCCTTACCTTTTTGCCTCCTGTTTTTCTGCCCCTAGCTCCTCCCCTTTCCCATCCTCCCCCTTTTCCTTCAAGCCTTCTCACTTGCCTGCCACTCATTCTCTGCTCTAGCTCCCCTCCTTTCCCAACACAGCCTCTCCCACCCTCTTCTTCCCTTCCACATTCTCTCCGCTCCCCAGGTCTCCCATGTCCCTTTCCTCATCTCACTGGCTTATTCTGACCTTTGGTCTCTTCCAGGAAACTGCTTCCCTTGTGGGAAAGGGCTCTGGTATGTAGGAGAGAGTTAGGAGGGGGAAATAGAAACCCAGAGCCAAAGAAACCCTGAAGGCAGAGAGTGAGAGCAAACAGTGCCCAGACATTTACAGAAACCGAAACATGGACACGGAGACAAGAAGCAGATGCCTCTGCTCTTTATTTATTGTGCTTTGGCTTTTGAGACAAAGTAAATCTTATTTGAAAAAGAAAATGGGGGGCTGGAGAGATGGTTCCATGGTTAAGAACACTTGCCATTCTTGCAGAGAACCCAAGTTCAATTCCCAACACCTACACCAGGTGTCCTGCAACCACCTAAAACTCCAGTTCCAAGGGATCTGATGCCTCTGGCTTCTATAGGCACCTGTACTCATATACAGACACCCATACACAGATACACATAATTAAAAATAGAGTAAGTCTTTAAAAAGAAAAGGAAGGGCTGGAGAGATGGCTCAGAGGTTAAGAGCACCGACTGCTCTTCCAGAGGTCCTGAGTTCAATTCTCAGCACCCACATGGTGGCTCACAACCATCTGTAATGAGATCTGGCACCGCTTCTGTATACACAATAAATAAATAAATCTTTAAAAAAAAAAATCTCCTTTCTTGGCCGGGCGGTGGTGGCACACGCCTTTAATCCCAGCACTCGGGAGGAAGAGGCAGGTGGATCTCTGTGAGTTCGAGGCCAGCCTGGTCTACAAAGTAAGTTCCAGGAAAGGCTCAAAACTACACAGAGAAACCCTGTCTCGAAAAACCAAAAAAAAAAGGAAAGGAAAGGAGAGAAAAGGAAATGATACCTACTCCCAGCTATCAAGGCTCAGGTCGGACATCTGGGACCTGGGAGCCCCTTGTCTCCTCTCACTTGAGCCAGGTTAACAGTAATTGGGTCTGATCTACCTTCAGAGTAGACCCACACACACAGTCTGCCTTCCTCACTCCTTTTCTGAGGCTAATACTCCACTCTATGCACATACCACATTGTATTTATCCATTCATTAACTGGTGGACATTGGAATTATTTTACTCACAACTTGTTGGTCTTTTTTTTTTTTTTTTTTTTTTGAGACAGAGCTTACATCAATGGTAGAATTGAGGAATTAAAGAATGATACTTCCTCTTAGAATAGTTTAGAACAAAAGAAAAGCCAAAATTTGAACTCTCTATTTCTCTCCCTGTGTCTTCTATCTGTCTGTAATTTGTGGTCTGTGGCTTGTCTGTTGTCTGGTTGTGTGTATCTGTTGTCTGGTTCCTGTTGCTTGTCTCTAACAAAGGGTTTGCTCTGAATTCACTGACCAATGCAGAAATATGGCATAGGAAGGGAATGAGGGACACTTTTCTACAGAGATCTTTAGCAGAGTTCTACAGAGGAAGAAGTTATTTCATTGACGCAGAACAGCACTCAGAACCTCACCCAGGTGGTGGCTGATTTCAGTAAATGGCACACACACATACATGCACACACACACACACACACACACACACACACACACACACACACACATTCTGAGTCAGGACATGGGAAAGTATATAACTTTTTTTTTTTTTAAGATTTATTTATCAATTATGTATACAATGTTCTGCCTGCGTGTACGCCTGCAGGCCAGAAGAGGGCACCAGATCTCATTACAGATGGTTGTGAGCCACCATGTGGTTGCTGGGAATTGAACTCAGGACCTCTGGAAGAGCAGCCAGTGCCCTTAACTGTTGAGCCATCTCTCCAGCCCCCAGAAAGTATATAACTTAAGAGTAAAACAGCTCTGCATTTAGCACGGGTTGTAAAAGCTGACTGCATGGGGAATTAAAGGCAAGCAAGGTTGGTTGCATTGCTCTCTTAAAGGCAGGTTGCATAGACTGAGTACACAGTAGGACAGCAGATTGAGTACACAATAGGATAGCAGACTTAATGCACAGCCTTCAGTGGTCTCAAGGCATATTAACTCTGCAGCTAGGTCTGGGGAAAGTCCTTTGAAAGCAGGAGGTATTTTCAGAAACAGATATTACCACATGGTCTCTACGTAGTTCAAGGTACCTGGCTTCACTTGAAACTTACTTTGGGGTGCTAAACAGGCAGCTCAGCAATTAAGAGCGTGTACTGCTCTTGCATAGGACCTAAGTTCAGTTCCCAGCACTCACATCAGGTAGCTTATAACTGCCTGTAACTCCAGCCCCAAGGAAGCTGAATGGGCTTCAAAGGCACTTGTACACACCAACAGACATCTATACATACATATAACTTAAAGTCATAAATCATTGAAAACGGCCGGGCGGTGGTGGCGCACGCCTTTAATCCCAGCACTCGGGAGGCAGAGGCAGGTGGATCTCTGTGAGTTCGAGGCCAGCCTGGTCTACAAAGTGAGTTCCAGGAAAGGCGCAAAGCTACACAGAGAAACCCTGTCTCGAAAAACCAAAAAAAAACAAAAAAAAACAAAAAAAAAAACAAAATAAATCATTGAAAACAATGAAGCTGATGCTCATTTACCATTTCCCAAATACTAGGAATGATTGAATTAATAATTGTACTAAATCTTTGTTTTTCTAACTTTTGGATTTTGAGATAGTTTCTTATATAATCCAGGATGGCCTTCAGGCATTACAGATGTGTGCCTTACCATCCCACCTGGTTTTATTCAGTGCTGAGGATCAAACCCAGTGTTTTCTTCACATCAGGCAAACACTCTACTACCTGAGCCATATCTCCAACTATGTTTAAAACTTACAGAAGCCATACAGTGATTATACTGTAATGCTTTGAAGCAACCAAAGGGAGTAATTTAGGTGGAATGTGAAATTAGGAACTAGACAAGATGTGTAGCTGTGTTGATAAAGTGTTTGCCTAGTGGGCTGGAGAGATGGCTCAGAAGTTAAGAGCACTGGCTGCTCTTCCAGAGGTCCTGAGTTCAATTCCCAGCACCTACATGGTGGCTCACAACCATCGATAATGAGATCTGGTATGCAGGCACACATGCAGACAGAACACTGAATACATAATAAATAAATTATATATATATATATATATATATATATATATATATATATATATATATATAATTTTTTTTTTTTAAAGTGCTTGCCTAGTGTGACAAGCAGGGCCGGTGGGCTGTGAGGCACTCAGTAATTGGGATGTCCACATGAGATTTGCCTTTCAGATATGCTTGATGTATTCACATAAACATTTCCTTACAATGCCATGCTGTTACAAAGATTACAATAGTTTCATGCACACAGACCTGTCACCCTCAAGGACAGTAGGGCAGGAAATGCTGAGGCTTCTACTGGAGCTCCTGTGAGGGTACATTAGGAGCAAGCTTGATCTGAGTCCTTCAGCTGTGGCAAGCTGGGAGGATGGCACTGTTGAAAGTTCCATAAGGTCCTTTACAGCGTCAGCCATCAGCTAGGCTGACAGTCGGGCAGGTGTGAAGTCATCAATAATGCCAGAAACTCAGTGGTCCCTGGAGACAGAGTCACAGAGTCACAGTGGCCAGTCTCAAAGCTACCTTGCCTACGGTGATCAGCATAGGTGTCTTGGGAACATGGTGGTATAATCTGGGGGTCCACTGTCTGGTTTCAGGATTTTTGTTGTTGTTGTTGTTAAGATTTATTTATTTATATATGTATGTATGTGGGTGAGTGTTTTATCTGCATGTACGTCTGCACGCCAGAAGAGGACATTGGCTCTCATGGGACTACAGTTACTGACAGTTGTGAGCCTCTATGTGGGAACAGAACGCAGGACCTCTGGAAGAGCAGCCAGTACTCAGAACCACTGAGCCGTCTCTCCAGCCCCTATTTTCAGTTCTTAAACTCTTTGGGTGTGTCAGCGCATGGCTTTATCAGGCTCACCATTTTAACATACTATTTTTCTATTAACAGTCAGAACTTTATGTTCACATTGTTTGTAAATATTTTTCTCCTTTTACAGCAACATCCTTTAAGTCAAAACATGTTATATTCATTTTGTCAAAACAAATTCTCAGTTTAAAACAATATGACATGTTTTCAACATAGTTTCCAGGTTACACAAAAACAGTTTCACTCACCGTAGCATACACAAAGGCCTAGGTTTGATGCCTGACTAGGTATGGCATGGCAGCACACACCTGGAATCTCTGCACTCAGGAGGCAGAGGCAGGAGGATCAGAAGTTTGAGGCTAGCCTAGGTTACATGATACCTTGACTCAAAACAAAAGAGAATGTAGGATCAGAGAATTGCTGCTATCTAATGATTGAAAGAGCAGTATCAAAGACATCTGAGCAGAAAGAGAGGTGGGAAACTGGAGAACAAGGAAGCCAGAGGAAGCACGTGTTTCCAGGAGGAGGAGGACTAAACAGTGTCCATTGCAGTTAGCTGCCTCAGTGTCATCTGTGAACCTCAAACGAGTGTGGAGTGCAGGGGGTGTGGCACACGGGAGGCAGAGGCAGGACGATGGAGCTCACTGAAATGATACTTAAGCAAATGAGAGCGGAAGAGATGGCTAAATTAAGACAGTGGCTCCAGGGTCTGATGAATGATTCAGCAGTTAAAAACACTGGCTGCTCTTCCTGAGAACCTGGGTTTGGCTTTGGTTCCTGGCTCCTTTTCTTGTTTGGTTTTGCTTTTCAAGACAGGGTTTATCTGTGTAGCTCTAGCTATACTAGAACTCACTCTGTAGACCAGGCTGGCCTCAAACTCACAGAGATCTGCCTGTCTCTGCCTCCCAAGTGCTGGGATTAAAAGTGTGTCACCACTGCCAGCCTGATTCCTAGCTCCTAGATGGAGGCTTACAACCATCTGTAATTCTAGTCCCAGGGGATCTGACACCCTGCAGGCCTTCTGGGTCATTGCACACGCGTGGTGCACAGACATACCTGCAGGCAAAACACCCATATACATGAAACTTAAAAGAAAAGCACAATGCTTCTTGGGGTGATTACAGAAGGAAGGAGGTAAGAGGCACCTGAGGGTCGGGAGGGGAAAGAGGGAGAGATTTGTGCCTTCATACCCTAGCGTCAACGTCATTTCCTGGAAGAGGCACAGCAGCCACAGGAATGGCTTAGGTTGACAGTCAGCACTGAGAACATGTTTTGACTCCAGTGACATTGCCTGCAGGCTCTGAGCCTGAACCCTGAACCAGTGACACAGGCTTTGTTTGCCAGATAGAGGATGAGGAAGGTGGGGATCAGCATTAAACCAGCTCTTCTGCTTCCGCAACAGGAGGTTCTGGGGGAAGAGAAGCTGAAGGAGATACTGAAGGAGCGGGAACTTAAAATTTACTGGGGCACGGCCACCACAGGGAAGCCACATGTGGCTTACTTTGTGCCCATGTCCAAGATTGCTGACTTCTTGAAGGCAGGATGTGAGGTAAGAACCCATGCTATGAACCAAGCAGTTGTAATTGGTAAATGACCAAAAGAGATACTTAACAAGGCTGGGGACGGGAAGTGGATGGAAGGTGCTGTGGCAGATTTACATTTTGGTGGCCTCTTAATGTTTCTGTCAAGGTAACGATTCTGTTCGCGGACCTTCATGCTTACCTGGACAACATGAAAGCTCCCTGGGAACTTCTAGAACTTCGAACCAGTTTCTATGAGAATGTGATCAAGGCAATGCTGGAGAGCATTGGTGTACCCTTGGAGAAGCTCCGGTTTATCAAAGGCACTGACTACCAGCTCAGCAAGTAAGCACTCAATGGCTCCTTGGAGACCTGGCGTTCCTCGATAATTACAGGGCTGGGAGTCCAGGCACTCTTTACATTGGGGTTGGAAGCTACTTGATACTACCTGTTAAGAACCATTAAACAGTTTATGCCTTTTGTTGGTTTAATTCACCCATCAAAAATGTACCGGCTTGGAAACGCCTAGGTTCTACCCTGTTTGCTACAGATATAAATGTAAACCTAACCCTAACCAAGCCTCAGCCTTGGAGCCCATAGCCTGTGGGAAGGGATGGGAAACATCCAGCCTCCTTTCTCTTTCGGCCTCAGCAAATAATGATGAAAGAAATGTGAGAGGAGGTTGTCATGCTTCTTCCAACAGTGTTTGTTTGTTTGTTTGTTTGTTTGTTTGTTTGAGACAGGGTTTCTCTGTAGGTTTGGATCCTTTTCTAGAACTCACTCCGTAGACCAGGCTGGCCTCAAACTCAAAGAGGTCCACCTGCCTCTGCCTCCTGAGTGCTGGGATTAAAGGCATGTGCCACTACCACCTAGCTTCTTCCAACAGTTTTTATTGTGATGTTGCATGGAGATGCTATACCATCTTATGTCAGGGACAGATTTGGGCATTTGTGGCTCTCGTTAGAGGTGGGGCATCCTGAGATACCAAGGGGTGTCTATACCTTAAAATAACTGCTAAGTCATGGACACACCATTGCTTGTGAGGGTCAATTTGAAAGATGTTAAAGCATATGCTCTTAGGATGTGTGGAATAGTGTCTTAGAAGTGGAGCACAGATGACTGCTTGACCCTGGGAGAGTTAGAATCTCAGAGTAGGTGCAGTGAGACAAAGTACACCAAACACAAACCACAGGGAAAGACTGAAAAGTGGAGGCTTTCTAAGGCTGGCGTTGGTGCACACCTGTAATCTCAGTGCTCAGGAAGCAGACGCAGGTAGACCTCTGTGAGTTTAAGATCAGCCTGGTCTACAGAGCAAGTTCCAAGTCAGCCAGAGCTACTTAGTGAGACCCAGCCTCAAAAATAAATAAATAAATAAATAAAATGAAAGGTATAAACTATGAAATAAATAATCAAAACTCTGAGATTCAAAGAATGGTGGTGGAGCGTATACTTGCTGTTCATGAAGTCCTGTGTGGAATTCCCAGCAGCCCCCCACAGCAAATTAAGGCCTCTTCCACTACATCAAAAGTCAAATGAAAAAAATAGCAAGCCACAAGCTGGAGTGTAATTCTGTGGTAAAGTGAATACTTTGCACACATACATTCTTGGTTTCAAACACACACACAAATGCAACCCACAAATGGCCAAAATCCCTATGACATATACAATTGGCCAAAGATTAATATCCAATATTTCAAAAATTATATAACCACTGGATGGTGGTGGCACACGCCTTTAATCCCAGTGCTCGGGAGGCAGAGCTAGGCAGATCTGTGGTCTACAGAGCGAGATCCAGGACAGCTCCAAAACTACACAGTGAAACCCTATCTTGGGGGAAAAAAAGAATTACAGAATCAGGGAGGCATAGTGGTATATGCCTTTAATCCCAGCACTTAGGAAGCAGACACAAGCAAATCTCCATGAGTTCAAGATTAGTCTGATCTACATAGTTCTAGGCCAACCAGGGATACCTATTGAAAAATCCTGCCTCAAAAAATAAATAAAAATTACAGTCAATTATTTTAATTAACCTCATCCAGTTAAAAAAAAAAGATTCAATTGAGTTTTTCTTAGAATTCTCAAGTGACTAGTAATCGTATGGAAAAAAAATGGAGATTAAAATCATAGTGAAAAATCACAGTGTAGTCAATAAGTGGGAAAAAATTTTAAGAGCCAAAACAGATAATAAAATTTACAAAAATCTGGCTGAAGAGATGGCTCAGCAGTTAAGAGCACTGGCTACTTTTCCGAGGACCTGGGTTCAATTCCCAGCACCCACATGACAGCTCATAACTGTCCATAACTCCAGTTCCAGGGGATCTAACACCCTCACACAGACATACATGCAGGCAAAACACCAATGCACATAAAATAAAAGTAAACAAAAGAAAAATTTTTAATTGACAAAAATCACTTTGGGAAATGATTTGGCATTATCCACTGCAATTTGAGATGCAGATCCCCTCTGATCCTGGGAATCAGGCCACATAGAGGGAAATGTGCCTGTGTATACCAGTGTAGACACATGTTTACAGGACACTGCTTCCAGGCACAAATGCAAAGCTGAGAAGCAGCAATAGGCTCAAGATAAGGTTCCTCTAAAGAGGACAGAAGTGGTAGAATTAGGCGAGGGCACTGGGAACTGCAGAGGTTTTCTTCAATTTTGCATGATAGGTGCTGTTCTTTGTGTTATTACTCTGTTCTTTTTTAGATTTATTTATTTTATGTATATGAGTGTTTTGTCTGTATGCATATATTCACACCCCTTGTATGCCTGTGCCCACAGAAGTCAGAAGAGGACGTCAGTGCCCCTGGAACTGGACTTATGTATGGTTGTGAGCTACCGTGTGGGTGCTGGGAACCAAACCCATGTCCTTTGCAAGAACAAGTGCTCTTAACCACTGAGCCACTTCTCCAGCCCTTACATATACCATATACTTAAAACTTCTTTTTGGGTTTTCAAGACAGGGTTTCTCTGTGTAGCTTTTGGAGCTTGTCCTGGAACTCACTTTGTAGACCAGGCTGGCCTGGAACTTACAAAGATTCACTTGGCTCTGCCTCCCAAGTTCTGGGATTAAAGGCGTGCACTGCCACTGCCCAGCTTTAAAACTTTTTTTTAAAGGTAGAGAAGAAAGATTGGAAAATTGTAGTATTTATTGATTAAGGGATTCCAGAAGAGAAAAGGGGATGGCAATGATACAGTATGTCACAAGGTAATAGCAGAACATTTTCCAGAACCAAAGGAAAACTAGAAATTTAAAGTAACAGGCTGGGGGGTGGGAGGAGGGAGGACAGGGGAATCTGGGGTTGATATGTAAAATAAATAGAAAATCTCTTAATTAAAAAAAGGAGAAAGAAAAAGTAACAGTTTGGATGCATGAATGGATGTCATGTTGTAGAAGCCGAGGCAGTGCTGTCTTTAGAATGTCCTAACGTCAGGCCTGTCCTGGGACACAGGCCTGGGCCCAGCCTTATCGACATCTCTTCTGCCTTTCTCCTTCAGAGAGTACACGCTGGATGTGTACCGACTGTCCTCCATGGTCACACAACATGATGCCAAGAAAGCCGGGGCTGAGGTCGTGAAGCAGGTGGAGCACCCTTTACTGAGCGGCCTGCTGTACCCTGGACTGCAGGTGCACACGAGGGCGGGGCACCCGTTACCTTTCTGCACTCGTTCTTGCTTTCCTTTGTGAGGATTTTTTTTAAATGTGTATTGCTGTTTTGCCTACGTGTATATCTGTGTGATGGTGTCAGATCCCCTAGAACTGGAGTTAGAGACAGTTGTGAGCTGCCATTGTGTGTGTGTGTGCTGGGAATTGAACCCGGGTCCTCTGGAAGAGCAGCCAGTGCTCTTAACCACTGAGCCATGGCTCCAGCCCTCTGCACTGTTTCTAAGGAGTGGACACAAGCCTCTCGGGGCACTGGCTGTACCCTGTACTCACTCTTCAGGTTGCACTATACCTTCTTTCCTGGCTCTTCTCCATCCTGGATACTTCTTTATTGTAGTCCCTATCTCCCATTTCCTTTCTGGTTTTGATCTTTGGGTGTGTGTGTGTGTGTGTGTGTGTGTGTGTGTGTGTGTGTGTGTGTGTGTGTGTGTGTGTGTGTTTTGAGACAGGGTTTCTCTCTGTAGCTCTGGCTGTCCTGGAACTCACTCTGTAGCCCAGGCTGGCCTCAAACTCAGAGAGATACGCCTGCCTCTGCCTCCCAGTGCTGGGATTAAAGGCATGCGCCATGACCACCCAGCACAATTTTAAAGTATGAAGCTCAGTTGATTGAGTGCTTGCCTAGAGTGCACAAGACTATGAGTTTGATCCCCAGTACCACATGATCTGAGCACTGAAAAAGTAAAGGCAGAAGGATCATGAGTTCAATGATGAGGCCTGTCTGGGCTACATGAGGAAATTATTCCACCCAATGTTCTGGTTTTTTGTTTTAATTTAAGCTCCATCTACTCTCCTAATTGCTGAGAAGTGTTGGTTTTGGTTCTTTTTTTTCTTTTTTCTTATTTATTTTATGTGTGTGAGTGACCTGTCTTCATACACACCAGAAGAGGTAATCAGATCCCATTAGAGATGGTTGTGAGCCACCATGTGATTGCTGGGAATTGAACTCAGGTCGTCTGGAAGAACAGCCAATGAATGTTCTTAACCTCTGAGCCATGTCTCCAGCCTCAGTTTTGGTCACACTATGTATGTACTTCTGCCTGGCTAAAAATTTGCAGGAAGTTTCCTAGCTCTGACTTCAGAGTGCTAAGATTATAGGTGTGCACCACCATGCCCAACCTTTTTTTTACTTCTTCAGTCAAATGGTTTAGATTTCTAGTCCATGGTAACCATGTGTGGTTATTACTAGTAGCTACTAGTTCAGACAGCACAGATACAGAACGTACTCGTCATTACAGAAAGTTCTGTTAGATAGTGCTGTTCTAGGCAGTTCCTTACGCAACCTTCCTCTATGTCCTCTCTCTTTCTTTCTCTCTCCTAATCCCAACTAATTGTGAACTAAATTTTACCAATTTTGCTTTTTAAAACTCTTAAACTCAGGTCTGTGGAGATGATTCAGTGGGTAAGGTGCTTGCTGCTTCAGACCCCCAGCACCCACATTAAAAAAAAAAAAAAAGGCCAGGCAGTGGTGAGCTCAAAGCCAGCCTGGTCTACAGAGCAAGTTCCAGGATAGCCAGGGCTACACAGAAAAACCCTGTCTCGAAAAAGAAGGAAAAAAAAGTCAGGCAAGTGTGGGAACCTGCCTATAATCCCAGCACTTGGGAAGCAGAGACAGGGAATCCCCAGACAAGCTAACTATTAATCCTACTGGATGACAGTAAAGGTCACCAACCCAAAACGTTTGGTCAAATTAAGCAAGCTTTATTTTCTGTCACACAGGACTATCTCCCTAAAGCTGTGTTTGAGAGAATAGGGGTTTTATAGCTCCAAAACTACAAGGCTAGGGTGTTTCCAAGGGTTTGGGTTAGGTAGGAACCTAGCAGGACATTTTATCTTCTCAGGGTGGAGGTCAGGGTATGAGGGTATGGAATGTCAAATTTCAGAAAATGGGACAAGACATGATCAAGCAGGAGTGAACTTATTCTGACCTTAGCTTCTAATCAGGCCGGTCCGTTACTAACTAGCAAGACTAGCCAAGTTAGTGAGCTCCAAGTTCAACAAGAGCTGCAGTCTCAGGTGGGGAGCAATGGAGGAAGACACCCCCCCCCCACCCATCTCTGGCCTCCACATTCATGTATGCACACACACTTACACACACATATCAGCTCTTAAACTTGTTCTTGCTCCACATCTCCACTGCTTTGGATCATGGGTGTTTTTCAGAGCCATACAACGGCCTGCTAGTGATGCTGTCTGTCTCCAGCCTGCATAGGACTCTGGTCCATGTCCTGTCTGCAACTGGTGTCCTTCTTCAGTGTTGGTCACATTTCTCCTTAAAACTGTTCACTGGCAGGACATTACCAAGGTACCCTAGTATGGCATTCATGGTCTTACCTACTTTTCTTTTTACTATTATTACTATTTTTGAGACAGGTTCTCTCTTTGTACCTTCGGCTGGTCTGGAACTCACTATGTGAAGCGGGGGGGGGGGGGGGGGGGGGGGGCTTGAACTCACAGAGATCCACCTATCCCTTCTTCCCTGGTGCTAGGACTAAAGGTGTGCCCCACCTGACCAGCTATTTTAATTTTGAGATAAAGTCTTTGTAGCTCAAGCTGGCTTAGAACTCACTATGTAGACCTGGATGGATCTGCTCTGCCTCTCCAGTCCTGAGATTAAGTCACAAGGCACCATACCTTGCCCTCACCTCCTTGTCTAACCTCTGCACTCACCATGCCCTACATCTCTTGAAGTTTGCTTTCAAAGACTGGACCATTCACTATTTTCCCAAACACTTCTCACACTCTGTTTCCTCTTGTAGTAGAAAGCTTCTCTGTCAGTGGTTCTCAGCGTTCCTAATGCTGAGATCCTTTAATAAAGTTCCTTGTGTTGTGATGACCCCCGACCAGAAAATTACTTTCATTACTACTTCATAACTGTAAGTGTACTGCTGTTATGATTCATAATGTAAATATCCAATGGTCTCAGGCGACCCCTGTGAAGGGGTTGGTCGACAACCCCAGGGGTTTCAACCCACAGGTTGAGAACCACCCTCCAGTTTTGGTGTATTTTGTTTTGTTTTGTGTTTTTCGAGACAAGGTTTCTCTGTGCAACAGCCCTGGCGCTGGATCTGTAGTCCACATTGACTTCAAACTCACAGAGATCCACTTGCCCCTGCCTCCTGAGTGTAGCGGAATCTTAGAAAGTCTTATTAATAAAATCAAACTTGGGGCCAGTTATTTTGGTTGAATGCTGGAAGGTCAGAGAAGCAGAACAAGCCACAGCTACCTCACCTCGCCAGTTCCTCAGCTGATCCTGTTTCCTCAGACTGGAAGCTTCTGAGTCCTCATCCAAATGTGTCTCAGCTGAACTGCTGCTCAAAGCCTAAAGGCTTATCCAGCCAAATGCTTCTAGTTTCTGGTCTTCATGCCTTATATACCTTTCTGCTTTCTGCCATCACTCCCTGGGATTAAAGGCTCACTTTCTGGGATTAAAGGCATGTGTCACCATGTTTGGCTGTATCCTTGAACACACAAGAGATCCAGGTAGATCTCTGCCTCTGGAATGCTAGGATTAAAGACATGTACTACCACTGCCTATCCTCTATGTTTAATACTGTGGCTGTTCTGTACTCTGACCCCAGATAAGTTAATTAGCATGCACAATATTTCGGGGAACATAATACCACCACATTTCCCCTTTTTTTGTCTAAAATTTTAAAAAAAGCTTGTAACTAATACAAGAAAAACTATATCCAATAAGTATATATAATATATACAGTCAAGAATTACATTAATGATGTCTAGTCCATTAACATTTGACAGATTCAGATAAAAACTCCATTAATATATAACAATGTCCAGTCCAGTAACATTTGACAAATTCAGACAAAAATTTTCATTACTTATCCTATTTAAAACAAGTAGTTCCTTTTTAGAAGTAGATTTAATAATTGGCCTTTTTATCTTATCATATTCACCTGAGTGCTAGGATTAAAGGCCTGTGCCACCATGCCCAGCTCTAGATATTCTTAAACCAAGTCCAACCCACAGTTTCATTCTAGGAAGACTTCCCCACAGGAATCGCTTCTTCCTTGGTATTGGCCCTGTTCCTACCATGAGCGTGTAGTTAGCCTGTACACACTGTGCTGAAATGATGTGTGTCTCTCCCCAAGGGGGTCATTGAGCTGCTTGCAGGGAGGATGTGGGTCTGATTCATCCCTGAATGCCCAAGGCTGGCACCAGGCCTGACAACTAATGAGTGATAGTCAGTGTACAGTTAGTAGTCCTGGTTTGCTCTTTTGGGGGTTTGGGGTTTTTTTGTTTTGTTTTTGGTTGGTATTGGGAAAGAGTGGGACAATTGACCTACAGTTCACTTTATAGCATAAACTGATCTAAAACGCATAGCAATTTCTGTGTCTCAGCCTCTTATAGTCATGAACCACTATACCCAGTTCAGGATTACCCTCCCCATGCCTAAAGAGTATCAAGGAAACTTTACTCAAAAGCAAAGCCATAGAAAGGATCTGAACACTGGGCCAGTGAGATTGCCCAGAAAGTTAAGGCACTTGCTAGCCGGCCTGATGTCCTGACTTGGAGCTCCTAAGACCCACAGGGTGAAAGGAGAGACTCAACTCCTACAAGCTGTGAGAGAGCATTGGGCCTCATGAGTGAAGAACCTGTTTTACCTCTGATTATCTAAGTTATCATAAGCCTTTTGTTTTGTTGGAGGTTTGGAGCTAGGGCCTGAACCCAGGACCACAGACAAGTTAAGCAGTTGCTCTTACCACTGACTCTCACACCCTTTTTTTCCCCAAACAGCATCTTACTATATTGTTCAGGCTGGTCTTGAACTCATGACCTCAGGATAACCTCTTGCTTCTACCTCCCAAGTAGATGTCATGGCAAGCAGACAGGAGTCACTGCTTTATGCCAGTTCTTTGATGTGACATAGGCTGCCTTATTCAGTGGGGGACCTTTGGCATCACTCCCTCCCCACTGCATTAGATAGACTAGGAGCATCCGGAGAGCAGGGCCTGTGCATCTGCACTAATGTTCACACAGGTACTCAGCAGCTGTTTCTGAGCCACCAGGGAGGCTCTGTGTTATTTATTCCCTCCTGGCTCTACCCTGTAAAGAAAATCATGTGATTCGAACTTCTCTGTGTCAGGCCCATAGGGGACAAATACAGCGGGTGTTTATGTTCATGTTTCTTTCCACAGGCTTTGGATGAAGAGTACTTAAAAGTAGATGCCCAGTTTGGTGGTATTGACCAGAGGAAGATTTTTACCTTTGCAGAGAAGGTGAGTAGCCACTTCTCTCTCCCATGCCTCTGAGATACACAGCTGAAGCTGACTCAGTTATGAGGCACAGTCACACAGTCACACACCAGACATACACTGGCTGATGGCTATCCTTGTTCTGTGGACCAGAAAGCAGTGTCCAGGACAGCACTGGTGTGAATGAGCTAGGTCTGTCTGCCTCAGCAGCCCACACTGTCTTGGTACCTACTCCCAGAAAGCTGCCCCAGGACTTGCTGGATTTCTGGACTTGCTGGTTTTGTTCCTTCCTGCTGCTACCAGTCAGGAGTGTCATTCTCTCCTAGAGCATTGGGTTTGCGCTACCCTGAGTTTTAGAGAAACCACGGATCTCAGAGATGACGTTTACCAAGGTTCGGAGGGAAATCAGCACAAACACAGTTCTTTTCTTGGAAAGAGCTTGAATACAATGAAGAAGTTGTTGTGGTTTTAGTTTGGGTTTTTTTTGGGGGGGGTTGTTGTTGTTTTCTTAATGTTTATGGGTATTTCGTCTGCATACATGTCTATGCAGCAGAAGCCAGAAGAGGATGTCAGATACCATAGGCCACCATGTGAGTGCTGGGAACTGGACCCAGGTCTTCTAGAAAAGCATCCAGTGCTGTTAACCACTGAGCCATCTTATGTAGCTAGAGTTTTCCTGCCTGGCCCACAGTCAGGACAAATCTCTCTCACCTGCCAGTCCCACAGCCGCTCAAACCCGACCAAGTAAACACAGAGTTTTATATTGGTTACAAACTGTATGGCCGTGGCAGGCTTCTTGCTAACTGTTCTTACAGCTTAAATTAATCCATTTCCATTAATCTATACCTTGCCACATGGCTCGTGGCTTACCGGCATCTTCACATGCTGTTTCTCATCGGGCGGCTGGCAGTGTCTCTGACTCAGCCTTCCACTTCCCAGCTTTATTCTCCTCCTTGTCCCGCCTATACTTCCAATGGCCAATCAGTGTTTTATTTATTGACCAATCAGCAACACATTTGCCATACAGAACATCCCACAGCAATCTTGCTTGCCTCTGTAGTTGGTAATTTTTCAAAGCTTCTCAAAACCTGATCTTGGCAAGGTGTAAAGAAAACAACTCAAGCAGAAATATAAATTCTGAGAATACTTTGACAACTCTAAAACGTTCCTATCCTTTGACCTAATAAAGTCTGCTCCTGGAAACCTGACCTCAGGAAATAAGAACAAACAAACAAACCTTGAGTTGTGTATGAGAGAACTTACCACATTATTAATTTAAAGGAAATATTTAGAAATAAACATATCCAGTGGCAAAGAATTAGATAAAAATGTAGTGAAGGATGAAGAGATGGTTTAGATGCCTGCTGTTGTGACATGTGTCTATAGTCACAGTCTGGGAAAGGCAAAGGCCCTGGGTCCTGGGCCTCACCAGCCAGCCAGCCGAGTCAAAACAAGAAGCTTCAGGGTCAGTGAGAAACCTGTAATAAAATAGAGTGGAGCCGGGCGTGGTGGCCCACACCTTTAATCCCAGCACTCGGGAGGCAGAGGCAGGTGGATCTCTGTGAGTTCAAGGCCAACCAGCGTGAGTTCCAGAGCAGCCAAGGCTGTTACACAGAGGAAACCCTGTCTTGAAAAACAAAAACAAAAATATAGTGGGAAAGCAATTGAAGAAGACATCCCAGTGTCAACCTCTGGCCTTTATATGTATCCACACAGGTGAGTGCACCCTCATACTTGCATGTACATGTATGTGTGCTCGCACGGCGCGTGCGCGCGCGCGCGCGCACACACACACCCTATACTAAAATAGTTTTCAGATTTATTAATGGTTGGGAAACTCGTACAGTGTGTTCTTGGGAAGGGTAGCACAGTTTTGGTTTTTTGGGTCAGGGAAGGAGTTGAGGCAGGGTGTTACTATGTACTTTAGATAGGGAGTTAGCTGGAACTCCCTATGTAGACCAGGTTGGCCTTACCATCATAGAGATCCTTCTGCCTCTGCCTGCACCTCCAGGGTGCTAGGATTAAAGGTATACGTCACTATAGCTGGTATAGCAGGTTGGTGATACAGGACCTCTTACAGCCTAGTCTGGCTTCTGACTTGCTGTGTAGTCAAGGATGACCTTGAGCACCTAGTCTTATTGCTTCTACCTCCCAAATGCTGGGATTATGGGTGTGTTCCCCCATGCCCAATTCATGGGGTCCTAGGGATCAAACCCAGCATCTAGTGTAACCAACTGAGCCTTAAACCCAGCCCTTGTATTTTTATCATTGAGACAGGATCTCACTATGTAGCCCTGGCTAGCTATACTCATAGTGTTTTATTTTTATTTTTTAATGTGTCTCATTGTCCTGTCTGCGTGTATGTATGTGCACCATGTGCATGCCTGTGGGATGGTTGTGAGCTACCATGTGGGTGCTAGGAACCAAGCCCAGATCCAAGTGCTCTTGACCACTGAACCATCTCTCTAGCCCATCTCTCTAGTGTGTTTTTTAATGACTTTGGAAGCTAATAGTTGTAAGCTAGGTATGATGATGCATAGCCCAGGCTGGCATTTAGTTTCCCATGTAGCCAAGGATGACTTTGAACTCTGATCCTCCTGCTTCTTCCCTCCCAAGTGCTAGGATTACAAGTGTGTACTGCCAAGCCTGGCTTCTGTAATTTTCTTTGTATCCTGCTTAATTTTTTTATTTTATGTAAATGGGTGTTTTGTCTGCATATATGTCTATGTACCACATTCCAACCCAGTTTCTGTCTTATGTGTAGATCTCTGTTGATCCTAAAGTCTAGTTAACAATGAAGACCACATATTACACAGCCTGAACTCCGGTCACTGTTGCTTTCTTGTCTGCTGAGTCTTTTTCTTAGCACCTGGTTACAGAAAAATGCTTCAGGGGAAGAATGTGTAGTGGGTGGAGTGCACTCTCAGCAGCCACCTGGTGGCTCACAACCGTCTGGAACTGCAGTTCCAGGTGATCTAGTGCCCTCTTCTGTACCAGGCATGCATGGGATGCACAATCGTACGTGCAGGCAAAACACCCATGCACGTAAAACAAAAAGAATATATATATATATTTAATATATATATATAAGTAATATATATTTAAATATATATATTTAAAAGTCTGCTAACATAATGATGACTGTTGAAAACTATATATGTTCTGCCAGGCAGTGGTGGCGCACGCCTTTAATCCCAGCACTCGGGAGGCAGAGCCAGGAGGATCTCTGTGAGTTTGAGGCCAGCCTGGTCTACAGAGCGAGATCCAGGACAGGCACCAAAGCTACCAAAGAAACCCTATCTCAAAAAAAAGAGAAAGGAAAAGAAAGGAAAACTGTATATGTTCATTAAAAAGACAAGGAAGACTGTAGTACATAGTGCCCTGAAGTTGCTGGTCAGACCCAATGAGAACAGAGCGCTGAGGAGGAATTTATATTTATATCTGCTATTGCCGTGTTTTCATTCCAGTACCTCCCTGCACTTGGCTACTCAAAACGGGTCCATCTGATGAATCCCATGGTCCCAGGATTGACTGGGAGCAAAATGAGCTCGTCAGAAGAGGTAAATTACTAACCGCTTCTTTACATTTATTTATCTATTGGGGGGGGGGGGGGTCCATGTGCCTTTACCCAATGAGACAGACACATCACCAGCCCAAAGATTATGCTTCTCCTTTCTCTTTGTGTTTTTGGTTTGTTTGTTTGTTTGTTTGTGGGAGGGGCATGGGGTTCAAGACAGGGTTTCTCTAGCCTAGCAGACCTGGAACTAGCTCTGGAGATCCACCTGCCTCTGCCTCCTGAGTGCTGGAGTTAAAGGTGTGTGCCACCACTGCCCTTCGATTTTATTTAGTGTTGAGGCTTGAACCTAAGGCCTATCTCATGTTGTACAAGCAATGTTCCACAGCTACATCCCCAGGCCACAACCACTTTCATTTGTTTACACATTGATTTGTTTGTTTGTGTGTATATGTGTGGGTCCACACCTGCAATGGCCCTGGTATCTAGGTCAGAGGACTACTTGGGGAAGTTGGTTCCTTCTACCATGTGGGGACCAGGGATGGAACCCCAGTCATCAGGCTCGATAAACACGCACTTTCACCCACTGAGCCATCTTGCCAGCCCCCCCACAACCATTTCTTGAATCTAGAAAACTCCAGCAAAAGATAGATTGAAGACTCCAACGAGCAGTCCCCTAGCTAAGTAGAGTGTGAATGTCTGTGCTATGAGGCACAGTATGTCATCCAATAAATACCAGCCAGAGCGGTCCTGACAGGGTCTGTCTGGTTAACTGCTGCTGATGACCAGAATGATGGGATTACATGTCTTCCTTCGGCCATCTACTTGTGAGCCTAGCCTTTAACGGCTGAGCTATCCCTCCAGCCCGTCGGCCATCTACTTGTAATGGTAGCACCCTGGAGGCTGAGGCAGGAGGATGGAAAGTACAAGTCAACCTTGGTGGCAGACACCTTTACCTGCCGAGCCATCTCACCAGCCCTAGCTTCAAACTGTTAATGAGTGATATGCCACCTCACATAACTAAAATCTCCATTTAAAATTTTTAATTTTAATAGCCGAGCATGGTGGCACACGCCTTTAATTATAGCACTTGGGAGGCAGAGGCAGGCAGACCTCTGACTTTGAGGCCAACTTGGTCTACAGAGGGAGTTCCAGGACAGCTAGAACAGTTACACAGAGAAACCCTGTCTCAGGGGGAAAAAAAAAAGAATGTCTATGGGCCTGGCTGTAGTGGCACACCACCTTTAATCCCAGCCCTTGGGAGCCAGGACAGCCAGGGCTACTCAGAAACCCTGTCTCAAAAAAAAAGGAGTAAGGAATGTTTATAGGACTAGAGAGATGACTCAGTGGTTAAGAGCACTCACTGTTTTGTTTTGTTTTTGTTTTTTTAAGACTTATTTATTTATTTTATGTGTATGAGTGCTCTATCTGCATGTATGTATATCTTTATGCCAGAAGAGGACATCAGATCCCACCATAGATGGCTGTGAGCCATGATGTGGTTGCTGGGACTCGAACTCTGGTCCTCTGGAAGAGCAGCCAGTGCTCTTAACTGCTGAGCCATCGCTCCAGCTCCAATACTTGATGTTCTTTTTTTTCTTTTTTTCTTTTTTGAGACAGTTTCTTTGTGAAGCTGTGGAGCCTTTCACTCTGTAGCCCAGACTAGCCTCGAACTCACAGAGATCTGCCTGCCTCCACCTCCCAAGTGCTGGAATTAAAGGCATGTGCCACCACCGCCCGGTGCACACTCACTGTTCTTGAAGATGACCGAGGTTCAGTTTCCAGCACCCACACTAGGTGGCTCACAACCACTTGTGACTCCAATTCCAGGGCATCCAACATCCTCTTCTGACCCTGTAGGCTCCTGCATGCATGTGGTACATATACTCAGGCATACATACATACACATGTTTTTTTTAAATCAATGGATAAATAAATAGTTAGGGCTTGGGATATAGCTTAGTTGATAGAGTCCTCACCTAGCATAAATGCAGCTCTGGGTTTGAACACTACATAAAGCAGGCCTCGTAGTACATATCTATGCTTCTAGCACTAGGGATATAAAGGCAGAAAGTTCAGTTCAAGAACATCCTTAGCTACATAGCAAGTTTGAGGCTAGCTTGAGTTACAGAGACCTTAGCTCAAAAGAAGACAAAAGAGTGTGTAATCCATCATGGGAAAAAATGGATAGATTTGACTTCATTAAAATAAACTTTGTTTTTAAATTATATAATGTATGTTAAAGTTAGTTGAGTGTGTTCTCATTTTCAACCACAAGAGGTCTCTTCCCTCATGACTTCCAGGAGTCCAAAATCGACCTCCTTGATCGGAAGGAGGACGTGAAGAAAAAGCTGAAGAAGGCCTTCTGTGAGCCAGGCAACGTGGAGAACAACGGGGTTCTGTCCTTCATCAAGCATGTCCTCTTTCCCCTCAAGTCTGGTAAGAGTCTCCCTGCTTGTTTCTCAGGGGCCATGCTGGAAGATCCAAGTTCCTGCTGGGACTATTCTTAAAATTGTCACAGAATCTTCCTGCAGGGACTGGCTGCCCTGAATCTCTGCCCTGATTTCATATATATGCTGTGCATTGTGAGGCTGGGCTGTCCCTCAGTTATCTGTGTGTCTATTACCAGGCAGTGTCTGTGTGTGTCTGTTATCAGGCAAGATCTGAGAGATCGTCAGGCTGCAGAGGGGTGTCGGAAATGAGAGTGCAGACAGACAGTTTGAACTGGAATACAAAAGAATTCTTTGTTGTTTTGTTTGTCTTTGGAGACCAGGTTTCTCTGTGTAGCCCTAGCTGTCCTGGAACTCACTCTGTAGACCAGGCTGGCCTCAAACTCACAGAGATCTGCCTGCCTCTGCCTCCCCAGTGCTAGGATTAAAGGCATGTGCCACCACCACCCAGCTGAATAAAAAAGAATTCTAAGCCATGATGTTTGTTGAATACACAGTTGTGGCTGCTTATCCAATTAAAGAATAGGAAGGCGCATTGTACAGAGCATGTCTAACATGCCTCATATCCTAGATTTAATCCCAGCAGCAAAAACTGAAAAAGTCAATGCCGGGGCTGGTGAGATAACTTAGTTGGTAAAAGTAAAATGCTTTAAATATATGTGTGTGCACACGCGCACACACACACACACACACACACACACACACACACACACACACACACAAATAGCAAACTACAAATGGTCATGCATATTTGGTGGAGGACTACTGTGCCTGCGGTTACTGACTTGTGGGTGTCTGTTGTAGAGTTTGTGATCCTGAGAGATGAGAAGTGGGGTGGAAACAAGACCTACACCGTTTACCTGGAGCTGGAGAAGGACTTTGCCGCTGAGGTAACACTAGAGGAGAATGAATGTGCACTGAGTCTAACAGTCTCTCCCTCCTGGACGAGCCACACAGCTCTGCCTTGATGCCCTCCAAGGCTGTTTTATTAGTGACTTGGATTTGGATTCAAGTAGTTTATGAAGTAGATGGGCGAATAGCAGATACTTAAAATGCTGATTTTCATCATTCTCCAAGGGGCCAGATGCATTGCAGTAAAGAACCTTTCTCCACGCCTGCACGGTGGGCACATACCCACACCAGACACATTTATACACATAATTTAAAAAAGAAGAAGTAGGCATGCTTAGCCAGAAAGCAAGTATATATTCTGTCATCAGCTATAAGAAGAGCTTCCCCGGGGGAGGGACTAGGTTTTCATGTCACTCCAGAGTCAATGCAAGACTTGGGTGGGAGGAGGGTTGAAGACCTCAGTGGTTAAGAGCACTTTCTGCTCTTGCAGAGGACCCACATCAGGCAGCTCACAACCACCTGGGACTCTAGCTCCAGAGACTCTGCTGCCCTCTTCTGCTTCCAAAGGCTACAGTAGTATATGTGTGTACAGGCACACACAGACGTGTAACTTAAAGATGAAAAAGGCTGACATGCATATATGGGATTTGGTTTGGTTTGAGGGGTTTTTTTTTGCTGTTGTTGTTGTTGTTTTTGGTTTTGGTTTTTGGTTTTTTTGAGAAAAGTGTTATATTGGATTTTTAAAATATGTTCTATGTAGCCCTGACTATCCTGGAACTCATAGAGATCCACCTGCTTCTGCCTCCCCAGTGCTGGGGTTAAGAGTGGGTACCAACATGCCCCAACTAAGAGAAACTCCCCCAGCCTCGGGAGTTGGTAAAGTGGGCTGACTCACTTGACTTTGCGTCCCCTTCCCTTAGAGGTGGGGGGCAGCAGCTGGGGAACCACTTGGAGGCAATGCTAGATGTAAGCGGGTCTGAGTGGCAGCTGGAGGGGACTCTGATCTCTGAGGTCTGGAAGCTTGTGTGGCCCGTTTGGGGATGTGTTGCAGACATTACTGTGAAACCCTTCTCTATTGTCTGAGGCAGGCCACAGAACCCACATCCCTGCAAGCAGTTCTTTGTGGGAATGCTGAGCAGAATTAGAAGGAATGCTTCTGGAAAATTCTGCAGCCACATATTCCCACAGTACTTGCCATGGTGGAATTTCAAGTCTGGTGCGGCTATGTAGTTTTGATTTTCACTGCCTGAGACAGAAGCCACTCACTGGTGACATGTGGCTGTGGAGCACTTACGGTGTGGATACTGCAACCAGCAAACTGAATTTTAATTGACATCTGGATAGCTGCAGGCCTAAAGCTTTCACTCAAAGTTAACTATTCCCAAGGAAATGAAGAAGTAGCATCAGAAACAGAAATGTTGTCACTAATGTATTACAGCAATCATACCTAAGGATGTCCCTTCAGAATAGCTAAGTACTTCCAGACTATACTTAGGTACAAAAGGTAACTCCAGGATACAGACAAAATACTGAATTTCAGCCAGGAGGTGGTAGCACATGCCTTTAATCCCAACACTGTCCTGGGACTCACTTTGTAGACCAAGTTGGCCACCTGCCTCTGCCTCCTGAGTGTTGGGATTAAAGGTGTGTGTCTCGGCCACACCGGGCAATGAGCCTGTGTGCAGGCTGTAGCATTTCATGTGAGGTCATATGTGGATTTTTCTTGTGTTGTCATACTGATGCTTAGACCTGGGAGCATCACGGATCTGCCCTGCAGGTGAGGACTGCTCAGTTGTACCTCCATGTGGCAGCACCACTCACCATTGCCACCATATTGTGTACCTCAGTCCTCAGTCTGACTCAGATATACCCCCGCTAGCATCCTCATTTTTATTGCTTGTTTGTTTATTGTTTAAGTAAACCAAGACTGGGCTGAGGATGTGGCTCAGTGGTAGACAGCTTGCCCAGCATGTATAAGACACTGGGTTCAACCCCCAGCACCTCAAAAAAAAAAGAAAAAGTAGTGAAAGTCATCATCATCAAAACTTAAAAGGGGTTAAGTGTCCAATTACACCGTTAACCAGAGCTTTAATCCTTATATGTCTAACTCAGTCTTTAGGCCTAGGGTTACCTGTGTGAACATTTTCCTGTAGGTAACATTTGGTTTATGGCTCAAAGTATAAATGGAAAGACTAGCAGAATTAGAATAATGAGTGCCAGGTGGTTGTGCTGCAGGCCTTTAATCCCAGCACTTGGGAGACAGAGGCAGGTGGATCTCTGAGAGTTCAAGGCCAGCCTGGGCTACAGAGTGAGTTCCAGGAGAACCAAGGCTACCCAGAGAAACCCTGTCTGGAAAAAACAAAAAAAAAAAAGAATAATGAGCATATTCAGCCTATAAAAGCCTTAAACTAGAACAGAATTCAAAGTCCAAAGGTCTAGATGCTAGGCTGAGGGCAGGAAGACTGTGGGTTTGAGGGTAACCTGGGCTACATAGTAAGACCTGTCTGAGACAAGCAGCCACCTGGCTTTGAGAGCACTCACTCTCTGTTCTACCTGGTTTCCTGAGTGTTGTAAGGCTCCAGACTGCAGGGAACATTCTTCTGTCTGCCATGTCACCTCTCATCTCACTGGGCCTTGTTTACTTCTGTAGGTTGTACACCCTGGAGACCTAAAGAATTCTGTTGAAGTTGCCCTGAACAAGTTGCTGGACCCCATTCGAGAAAAGTTCAATACCCCAGCCCTGAAGAAGCTGGCCAGTGCTGCCTACCCAGAGCCTTCAAAGCAGAGTAAGGCCAGCTGGGAAGAAGCCTGGGATTGAGACCACTTCAAACCTTCTAGTATAAGTTTGCTAAACCTGCCTTAGTGAGCTTGTCCCTAGGTGGTGTTCGCAGTGGCAGTCTGTTGACAGCTGCTCAGGCTTCTTGAAAACACGCATTTTAACAGCCTCCTTGCTCCCATCTCTCTGCTTCTGTCTCGTGAGTTGGTCATCCAGTTACCCATGATGCTGAGGTGCTGCTGTAGATACCTTTGTGCGACCCATCCAGAAGAGACTGAGCAAATTCTGCATGGAATTTATGAGTAGAAATACCCAAAGGTGGCCAGACTAGTGCAGGCCTTGCCCTCCATCTTAGTAATAGAGAAAAGCTGAGGAGGAAAATCTTGTGTCCCTTCTCCAAGGCTGCAGGGCCTGTGTTAAAGTGTAACTCAGTGGATGGGCTCAGTGATTCTCTCCTAAATCCTGCCTGGTTTCAGTATCCTCATCTGGGGCAGGCAGACCTGGCCTGCCATTGGGGTGGGAGAGGAGGAGAGTCCCGACCCCACGGAGTTCTTCTCATTTCCAGAGCCCACTGCCAAAGGCCCTGCCAAGAATTCAGAACCAGAGGAGATCATCCCCTCCCGGCTGGATATCCGTGTAGGCAAAATCATCAGTGTGGAGAAGGTACTCGTTTTCACCTACATCCCAAAGAGGCAGAGAAGGGTTGGGTCGGTGTGTTTCCATCTGGAGGAAACCTAGGGAGGGGAGGCAGCACCCATGGGGTCATATTGCATGTCAGAGCCCAGGTGTCCAATTGCAGGCAGTCTCTGAACCTTATACAACACAGCCAGGAACCAGGAGAGAGGAACAGTGGTCAGAGAACTTAGCCATCAAATGGCCCGATGTACTCACCTAGAACGTACCAGCTTGCCTGGACTAGCTTCTGGTCTTACTTAGGTTGGCCATTTGCCCCTTAGAAGGTGGCTGGGGGGAAGCGGACTTCCTTTTTTGTAGGTCATGTGATCAATCATTGGCTGGGAACCATTGTTCTAGGCCTTTTTCCCCTGGCGTTGATTTGCTTGACACTCTGGCCCTAAGCCTCCCAACCCCTGGATAGACTACTTGATATGGTTGTTGGTGCTCCCACCTCAGATGGTGAGGCCACCATTCATCCACTCCCAGCTCCTAGACACCTGGGACCCTTGGTGTAGTACTTGGGTCATAATGGCACTCACTAAACAGTCCAGGCTACCTAATCTCCGTTAAGAGATTTTTCCACTAGCCATTAGGTTCATTTTCTCAAATCTAGTCCCTTGAGGAGTAAATGTTCCTTCAAGGCATGTTCTCAAAGCCAGGCATGATAGCACATGCCTGTAATCCTAGGATTTGGGAAGCTGAGGCAGGAGGATCACTGCAAGTTAAAGGCCAGCCTTGGCTACATAGTGAGACCTTGTCCCAAAAATGAAAAAAAGAAAAAGACAAATGCAGGGGAGCTTTGGAAAGAGCAGATGTCCCTTTGTGATGACCTCCACTGTGACCATCTCCCACTAATTTATTTGTGTACTGGGGGTTGAGGAGAATATGCCTGCCACATGTGTGGAGGTTTGAGGACTCATTTCTCTCCTTCTACCATGTGGTACCTGGGGATCTAACTCAGGCGATCAGGATTGGAGGCAAGCACCTTTACCCACTGAGCCATCTCTCTGGCCCTCTGACAAGAATTTCTTGCTGGCAGCACCCAGATGCAGATAGCCTGTATGTGGAGAAGATTGATGTGGGGGAAGCTGAACCCAGGACTGTGGTGAGCGGCCTCGTACAGTTTGTGCCCAAGGAAGAACTCCAGGACAGGCTGGTGGTGGTGCTGTGCAATCTGAAACCCCAGAAGATGAGAGGAGTCGACTCCCAGGGCATGCTGCTGTGTGCTTCCATGTGAGTGAGGGTTTGTGGGCCAGGGCCTGGGGAGGGCAAGTGAGGAATTGCACAGGATGACACCCTCCCATACACCATGTATAAGCCCTAAGAAAATGCCCCCTTCCACATTGATGCCAAAAGATAAGGCATGAAAGGATGGCTGTTCAAGTACTGTGAATTAAACACCTTGCATGAAAGATAAATTGTTGAGAGAAAACCAGATTGGAGGGCATAGTGGCACATGCCTTTAATTCCAGCACTTGGGAGGCGGAGACAGGCAGATCACCAAGAGTTCAAGGCCATCCTGGTCTACATAGTGAGTTCCAGAGCTACACAGTGAAACTCTGCCTTGGAAAAAAAAATTTTTTTAATTAAAAAATAAAATAAAGGGGTTGGGGATTTAGCTCAGTGGTAGAGCGCTTGAGGCAAGCGCGCAAGCTCAAGGCCCTGGGTTTGGTCCTCAGCTCCGGGGGGCGGGGGGATACAAAAAATATAAAATAAAAATGGATGGATGCTGGACACAGTGGCACCTACCTTTAATCCTGGCACTTGCAGGGAAGGGTCTCTAAGCCTGGTTTACTTCTCAAGTTCCTGACCAGCACGGCTACACAGTGAGATCCTGTCTCACCAAAAGGAAGGCTGGAGGTTGGATACAGCTCAGTTCGAGTTCTTGCCTAGCTGGCTTGAAGCTCGGGGTTTGATCTCCAGCACCTCATAGAAGTGAGTGTGGTAACCCACACCCATGACCCAGCACTGGGGAAGTGGCTGCTGGAGAATCAGTTCAGGAACAGCCTGGGCTACATGAGACTCTCCAGATAAACAGAAATGCGGGTGTCACACTACTAATAAGAGGTGGGGCCAGGATACCAACCTGTTGTGATTGGGTACAGAATCACTGCTGGAGACCCAGGTGTTCCTCTTTCCAGAAAAAGAGATACTGAATATAGTCCTGAGTTAAGTGTTCAGAGAGGGAAAAGTGACCAGGACCTCCTGGGTTATGGCACTAAGGACCCGGGTCACTTTAACACCCACAGCTGTTGGGAAGTCCATCATCTTGCCTTTTGTCCTGTCTTTCCAGAGAAGGGCTGAGCCGCCAGGTTGAACCTCTGGACCCTCCTGCAGGCTCGGCTCCTGGTGAGCGAGTATTTGTGAAGGGCTATGAGAAGGGTCAGCCAGACGAGGAGCTCAAGCCCAAGAAGAAAGTCTTTGAGAAGCTGCAGGTGAGATGCTACTGTCCTCCCTTGCCCAGGCTGCCCCAGTGTGCTGTTCCTGAGTCAGCAGTTGCCTCTTTCCCAGCTGACACTTCCTGCACTGAGTCCCTTCATCTTCATTCAGCTCTGAATATGAGGGGCTGAGAGTCTCAGAAGGACTCTGCATATGCCAAGTAGTGACATGAAGCAAGTGAGGGACTTTCAGACACTTCCTTGTCCATTTGATCATAGTCTGAGAAGGCAGCAGATGGGAGGTCATCCCCATTTTACCTCAGGCTGTGACCCTCCATACCACAGCAAATAAATGAGTAAAAGGAAGAAGTAGATCCCCTCCTACCCAGGAGCAGTTAGAGCATCCACTAAGCTGAATACGGCCTGCTCCAGCTGTCCTGGACTCGCTCGCTCGCTCACTAGCTCATTTTTTTTTTTTTTTTTCAGTAATATCAAGTCCAGAATATGTGTCAGGCACTGTTCTAAGTGCCTGGACTACACCAGTGTAACAAATTAGCTCTCTTTGTGGAACAAACTTTATAGATGCTGTCTTAAATAGAAGGCCAGAATGAAGAGAATATCCCTAGTCCTGCTGGGTGTTTTGGTGCCTGTATGTAATCAAATACTTAAGAGGCAGAGGTAGGAGGACTGCCCCAAATTCATGCCAATCTGTTTAACAAAGTAGGTCCAAAGCTGGGCAGTGGTGGTGCACGCCTTTAATCCCAGCACTCAGGAGGCAGAGGCAGATGGATCTCTGAATTCAAGGCCAGCCTGGTCTACAAATCAAGTTCCAGGACAGCCAGGGCTGTTACAGAGGAAACCCTGTCTGGGGGAAGTGGGGGGGAGCTAATTAATTAATTAAAAAGGTCCAGACCAGCAAGGGCTATACAGTAAGACTCTTCTCAAGACAAAAAAAAAAAAATGTGGACATGTATTTCCAGTCCTGTCAAAGCTACTTAAATAGGCCTTGATTGCTTCTTTCTGATCTTTTGCTGGACAGAGGGGCATTCAGGTTAGTCTGCTTTTTATCCCTGAGTGTTTCCTCATATTAAGTATCCAGAGGGATCATGTGTATAGCGTATCATGGCCTATCAGCTGCTATGACCAGCGTGGGTGTGCTGAGTGGCAGAGCACTCACTCAGCGTATCAAACAAGACCCTAGGTTTGATCCCTGACACCTTTGTCATCATACACACACACACACACACACACACACACACACACACACACACACACACACACACACACACACACACACAGTGCTGTGATATTAGCAGTCTAGAAGTCTTTATATTTATTCATAGAAATGAATGTGCTTACCAAAAGATCAGAACATGGAAGCCTTTGGGGAGCTGTACTCAGAAACACTGGATCAGGGGCCCAGGTGGTGGTGCACCTTCAATCCCAGCACTCAGGAGCAAAGGCAGGAGGATCACTGTGAGTTTTGAGGCCAGCCTGAACTACATAGTTCCAGGACAGCCAGGACTACTCAAGGAGACCCTGTCTCAAAAACCAAAATGAAAAAGTTGGGCCAGTTCATGCTAATAATGTGAGAAGTTTGTGTCCCGCTACCGTAACTTTGTTTTCTATCTGTCTTGTCCAGGCCGATTTTAAGATTTCTGAGGAGTGCATTGCACAATGGAAACAAACCAACTTGATGACCAAGCTGGGGTCCATCTCCTGTAAATCACTCAAAGGGGGGAACATTAGCTAGCCGGCTCAGCCTCCTCCTCGCACCATGCCATCTGCGGTCTCAGCTTATTGCATCATCACCCGTCCCCATCTCAGGACACTGAGCTGCAGGTCTGGAACTGTTGATAGACAGAAGACTTGGTAAGGGACAGCTCACCTTCCTACCGGCTGGGATCATCCCACCTGGCTGCAAGGGAACTGGCCGTCAGCGTGGGGTAAGGACGGCTGCCCAGCAGCAGAGCTGCGCCTCCTCCCTTGGCAGCTGACTTGAGAAATCTGGTTTCAATAGAACCAGTAGAAAAAGTTTATTCCACTGTCCTTGAAATTGGAAAAACACTGGTTCCCAAGTTTCCGAGGGTTGTCCCCACAGCTGTACCTCTAGCCGGGATCTAGTGCCTGGTCTGGGCTAATTACAGTTTCTCCCCACAGGAAATTGTGGGATTTGAAAAGAAGGGAAACAGAGCCTAGAGGTCTATCAAGCTTCCCAGGGCTGGCAGCACCCCAAGGCCCGCCTACCCTGAGGCTTGGCACCAGTGGCAGGGTCTGCCCCAGCTCTCCTGGGGCTTCCCTTGATCTGGCTAGGTTGGGACACTCCCAAAACCAGATGTGTGTCAGCAGCAGGACAGGAATGGACTGACACAACGTGGGGTACTTCATAAGGCATCTCAATCAGGTCACTAACCGCCACTGTCAAATTCAAATAAAGTGTCTGAACACGGTGTCTGGGTGGATTCGTCTGCACCACACCATGTTGGAGATGGCATGAGCGTACAGCAGCAGCTCTGTCACCTAACCTGGGACCGCTGGCTTCAGCCCTATAATGCGATGGGGCAGACAGGGATCGATGACGGACACCCTGAGTTTCCCTCTGTCATTACTAAGCGGGAGGTCCACTCCTGGGCCAGTGCTCACAGCAGGCAGACACCACCTCTTCTGACAGCAAGCCCGGAGCACACTGCCCTGTCCTAGCACAGCCAGGTCTTCTGTGGTTCATTAGCCCGCAACTAGGTTCATGCTGCTGTGAGGTATGTGTTCCTCAAACCTCGTTACATATATTACCCAGCATCCCCTGTTGTAATGTCTGGAAAAGAGTAGTCACAGCCAAGTTTCAATCATTTAATTAATACCTTTTAATGAAACACAGCTTTGTCATGTGTCCCACTCAAGCTTCAGGGGAATGGGGAGGGCTGTTTATATAGATATATCAAAGACTCAAAAAGTTAAGGAAATATATATATATATATATTTCTCTCTTCTAACATCTTTATGCAAATTAAAAATCAGAGGCTTTTGGTCTCTCCGTTTGCACAAGGTCAAGCTTATTTACCCCAGAGGACAAAGAAAGGTTGCCCCTCTTAAGATTCTCCTTTCTTCTTTGTACTCTGACGGACCCAGTGCAGAAACAAGCAGAGATCCCAAGTCAGGACAAGAGCTCCAGTAACACTGGAGGGGGAAAAGCGCTGCTTCCCCACCCCCAGCAGCTCCCAGATTCCCAGGGCCTGGATCCTGGGGCAGAACAGTGCTTACTGATTGATTGTCCTCCCCCCACACCCCATGGGACAGTGCCATCCCCCCAGCAGCAGCCTCCATCACACACTGGGCAAGGGAAAGACCGTGACAAGCATCCTAGCAGCAGGGCTGAGGAGCCTGGACTCTCCTCCAGTCCCCAGTTTTCGACAGGAAAGTCAGCAGCAAGGGGCAGTGGGTCACTCTCTTCTTGGTGGTGGAGATGCTAAAGGCAAGACCTTGCCAGGCTCAAGCCCCCACTGAAAAAGACTCAGGAGGTGGCCCGAAAGGAGGCACAGCCATTGGAGCTGATAGGGACAGGCTGAAAATAAGTCATTGAATTCCAGGAAGAGAGATTAGTAGCAGAGGCTGCTATCTGGGGACAGCCACCAGCCTGCCCACTTGGGATCACTGGGTGTCCCCTCTTGGACTAGGGAAGAATCTGGCCCAAGGTACCCCTTTGGCTTCCCATCCTTGCCACTCAGCCTCTGCTGCCTCCTCCTGGCTGAAAGGCAGCTGCAGAAAGGACATGCACCAAAGAGTAGAGACAGGTCAGAGAAAGAATGAGGGCCAGGCCTGGGCCACTGGCCAAGGAAGTCCCTGCCAGGCTCTCCTGCCAAGATGAAATGGACACATCCCATGAGCTCCTGGCTCTGAAGCTGTGCCCATCCACCCAAACCCAATCAAGTGTCACAGGACAGGTGCCCAGCATGCCAAGATCCCAGATGGCTTCCTACTCTGGTCTGGTTTTTGGTTTCTTAGTGCACAGTGCCCACAGACCTCTGGTTCTTCCTCCCCTCGTCCATGAGTCCCCTATGAGGAGGAGCACCTGTCAGAACTGGGAGGCAGGAGAGTGGTTGGTGGTAGGTTGAGGCACAGAAAGGCTAGCCCCCTCTGTACCTTTTGTGCTTTGGAATTCCACAGCCCCACTCCTGCTGCCAGCCTGGGAAGCCTGTGGGGATGACTTGCCCATCTCCAAGAACTTAGGAAAGGAGTGGACTGGACTGGCAGAATGGACAGACTGGTCCCAGCTGGGGGCTGGCTACCAAGAGACTGATGCTGCCACCGTGTAAACAGGCTCTTCGAATGTGGTTTCATGAGCCCGAGAAGATGGACATGCAGCCACTTTGCAAAGTGCTTTGATTCTGGACTACAATACACATGATTCCCAACATGAAACAAAATAAACACATGTTCTGCTCCCACCTCTGTGGCCTTGGGATGGAGGTGGAGGCACAGCCACCCACTCCCACCAGCTACCTTCTTCAAGAGGAGGCTAAGGCCAAGGCTGCAGGGCTTATGGAGGGGAATCCTTTCAGGAAAAGGCATGAGGGAAGGGGAACTTGGAGGATGGGCAACATCAGGCTTGCATAAACATGGAAGGCTGTGGAGATTAAGGCTGCAGGCATCCTTTCTTAGGCTGTGTGCCATGTCCTCTCTTCCTTGGAGCTGCTCAGGTCCCTGAGAGATTGTATTCCTGGGATGGGTCAGCAGTGCCCGTTGATGATGGTCAGACCAGTCTCCTCTATGGATCTGTGAGGAAGGGGACATTGAGCAAGCCTCTCAGCTTGGCTCCGACAATAAACCTAAGATGTGCTCACCCAACCTTTCTGTATGCCCTCACTTCACTGAACTGGGAGAGACACCTTCAACAGACTGTAACATGGGTGTCTCTGCCCCGTTTTACAACATAACAGAGATGGGAAATGATGGGACAAAACTGGACTACACTCACGTCAGCTGCCAGTGTCTGTGTCCCGTCTACCCCTCCTCCCTCTGATTCCTATCACTAGTTTGAAGATGAAGTCCACCTATCCCACATATCTCAAAACCTGATCCGAGAACATTCCCCTATGGACCCCCAGAGAACTGATTCTGCACCAGTGCCTACAGTACCTGAACCAGGGGGGCCCATCTTCTCCGTACCAGCCAGTTGCACACCTCCATTCTCTGCCAGCTCCCCGTTAGTCCTGTCCTCAGCGTGAGGGAGCCCGTTGGTGGATGGAGCAGTAAGAGATTCAGCCCTAGGAAAACTGGGGGAGGGAGGAGGGACTCCTACAGAGGGCTTGCGGGCCACGGGTGGGGGAGCCTTGGAAGGCTTCTTCTGGGCCTGGGATGGCCGCTGCTCTGAAATGCTCCGAAGTTCAGCCACCAGATTCCGCTGGAGGTCAGCCTGGGCCTCAGGGGACACAGTCCGCTCGAGCTGCAGTTTTTTGGTGCCCTTGGAAAAGATGAAGCTGGCCTTGGAGGCAGGAGATTGTGGAGACCGTGGTTCTGCCTCTGGTGGTCCAATGGGCAGAGCACTTCCAGGGTTCTCAGTGGCAGCCAAACTGGAGGCCTTGAGTCGGACGGCAGCATGGAGCCCAGAGGAGGGGGCAGGCACTGGGCTGGCCCGCCCTGACAGGGCTCTTCGTAGTGGTTTCTGGGGGGCCGATGGCCCTGGAGATGAATTTGGAACCCCTGTGGAAGCACCCACAGATCGAAGCCGTACCATCTGCAGGAGTGAGGGTGTGACCAGAGGTGCGCCAGCATCCTCCCTGGGAGCCCCACTGTTCTTGCCCACAGAGTCTTTCTGAGGGAGCTTGGCCAGAGGCTCTGAAACAGAACTAGCTGGAGGTGGAGCTGGTGGAGCTGGTGGAGCTGGTGGAGGGGTTTGGATATGCTGGGGTGAGGTTTGGGATGAGCTAGCAGCGGAAGCGGTGGCAGCCAGGTTGCTGCAGGGATCCAGAGGGCCAGGCTCCAGGCCTGCAGAGAAGAAGACCTCCTCAGGTGGGGGAAAGTCAGCCATGGACAGGTCCTGTTCCTCAGATGTAGGTGGTGGTGGTGGTGGCCAGCTGGAATCTGGGGGGGACTCTTCAGCAGTCTCTGGAGCAGGTGGGACCTCCTCAACCACTTCGGGCTTCTTACTAGGCGGCGGGGGGTGGGTGGTAAGATGGGGGTGGGGACGGTGGGGGTGACTGGTCTTTGGAGGCAATGGGAGACTCCTGGGGTGGAGTCAGGCTTGTCTGAGGCATGGAAGGAGATGCAGGACTGGTGTCTATCGTAGAAACTGGCGCAGGAGCCACAGCAGGGGCAGCCAGAGCAGGGGCAGCCTGGCTAGAGCTCTTGGTCTTGGAAGGTGGTGGAGAGAAAGGAGCAGGCACCTTAGGATGAGGAGGTATGACAAACCTGTCACCCAAGGGGGTGGACATCTGTGGACCAGAGCGATCAGAGGGAGTAGGGTCTGAGGAAGAGGAACACAGGGATGTGAGGGAAGAGGACACAGAGGCCCCAGGAGATCGAAGGGATGTCACTCGATCTGGTTTAGGGGGCTGAGCCCTGCCTGGGGAAGCAGGGGCACCTGCCAGACCCTTGTGAGGGAGAGTTGGGGTACCGCTCTGGCTTGAGTATCCACTGGAAGGTGAAAGTGTCCGTTCTGGGGAACGTGGGGGGCGCCTGGAGCCACCTGGAGACGAGCCAGAGCCCCAGCCGCCTGCTGAGCTGGGGGGACAAGGCACGGCCCCCACCCCTGCAGACCCACCTGTGGGGGGTGGCCGGGGCAGCTGTGGCTGCTGCTTCCGCTCGGGTTTGGGCGGCAGCCCTAAGGGCCCATCGGGTGCTGCTGAGCCCCGCTGATGGAGGGAGTAGGTCCGGCGGGGAGGCGGGGGAGGCCGTTTCATCTTCCGCAGGGACACACTCCTGCCAGACAGCTGCCCACTGCTGCGGATGCTGGCCGTGTCCGAGACCTCAGCAGTGCTACCCCCACTAGGGGACCCCCTCCCGCTGCCCCCTGGAGGAGGGGCTGCCACGTTACTGCTAGCTACAGAGCCCTCTGGCCGGCCCTCGGAGCCCCCCTTGGAGGAGAGAGTGGACCCATCGGACACAATGGTCTCGGAGGATTGAGAATGGCTCCAGGTGTCACTGGACGAGGAAGCATGGCGGCTGCGGGGCCGGGGACTTGAGGCTGAGGAGAAGCGGCCCAGTGAGCGCACAGAAGCCGGACTAGCGGACAGCAGGCTGCAGCGGCTCAGAGTGCGCAGGCTGCTGCGGCCCAGGGCCACCACATCCACGGTGGGGGGCAGCACCGCATGTGGGATCAGTTTCGACAAGTAGGTGGCTTGCGGCGAGATAGACATGGCTGGACTCAGGGGCTCCGGAGGCCCTGCCCCTCCTGTCAGTCCGGGCACCGCGAGAGACACAGGCCGCGTCAATGGTGGTGGCCGGGCTCCCGTGGAGCGACCGACAAGTGTGTCATCATGGTAAACACGGTCGATGTGGCGCTGGAGCATGGCCTCTGTATCAGTGCCAGCCTCTGCTTCTGCCTCCAGAGCCTGCAGGGACACCCGGACCCCCGTCCCTAAGGCCAGGCCCGGGGGGCGACCATCCACTGTGGGAATACGGACAGCATCCCGCGGACCAGGAGGCTGTGGGGTTCCTGGGGCCTCGCGACTGTTCCGCAGGCCTGAAATGGACAAGGAGATGGAGTCAGCAGAGGGCTGGCCAGGCTCTCCGTCCACCACCACTGTCCACCTAACAAAGCTCACCAAGTTCCTTCTGCACATGCTGAGGCAGCCCCAGCACCGTGCTCCTCCGCTCCCTCCGTCGCCGCCCTGACTTTCCAGATTTGGGAAATGAGTCATGGGGTCTGAAGGTGGAGCCTAAGGGCCAGTCCAGGGGGAGAAAATCATTAGAGCAGGACACTCCACAAAGCAATGCTCTGTACTAATAAAGTACTAGGAACATTCTGGCAAGGCTAGGTTTCTTTAAGACTTCTGGAAATCCCCTTACTAATTCAACAATGATCTTTCCGTTTGGCGAACAGTTCTTATTACTTAGTGAACATATTATGTCATCGTATTAAAAGCTTGATATTCATTCCAATAAGGTAAATGCTCTTAATATCCTGATTTTCTGGAGAAGGGGTGCTACTAGAGATTGAGGCCAGAGCCTTACACATGTCCTCTGAGGCAGTCCCTAGCCAGTCCTTCGGCTTTTGCTTTGAGGTGGGGGTCTCATACAGTCCAGGCCAGCCTCTGACTCACTACATGGCTGAGATGACCTTGAATGTCTGACCCTCATACTTCTACTTCCCACATGCTGGAATTACAGGTGTGCACTACCACTCTCTATTTTATATAATACCAGGGACTGATCACAACTTCCTGCATACAAGAGTAAGCACAATACCAACTGAGCTATATCATACCAAGCCAATCCGTTATCTTCCACAGAACTTCAGTCAGACTCTCAGAGGAGTGAAGCGTTTATCTTCCACAAATCCGGGTTTCCCAACCCTTAACTATCTTGTTTTGGGTCAGTGTCCACCACGACCCTCCAAGGATAAAAGGTAGTCTTCTAAATTGGCTGAATCACTAAGCCTGGGTCCGGACCAAAAGGGAAGCCGAAGGTTCTAGGACATGCTATGCCCATTGCCTCTTTCCCCTGCCTAGGAATCCCAGCAAGTGACAACACACCTCTGCGTTGGATCATCTCTGAGCGGACGGAGAGGGCATCCTCCGCCGTGGAGCTCTCGGTCATGTAGGACTTTTGACTGCAGAAGGAAATTGTGTCTTCATCCGGCCCCGTCCGGGAGGACTGTTGGGATAAGATCAGCTTGGACAGGCTGCCTTAGGCCTCTCACTAGAACTTTCACTCACAGATTTTCCCAGCATCACCCAGCACTGAGCAGGTACCAGATGGAGCAAGCCTGGACTAGCTGTCAGAGGTCATTTAATTTATGCTCTTCAACATACAGAAGAAACCAGTCCAGAGAGGCCCAAAGCCATGCATGCCAGAAGCTAAGCCAGAAGGGAAGAGCAGGGCAGAGCTGGGCACAGGGCTCACCTGGATGCTCTGGGTGTCTCCATGGTCCCAGCCACCCTTGCTCAGTTTCTGTCTTTCTAGAAGATACCAGAACGGTGTGTTGGCCTAGGCCCCTGACCCCCAGGAGCTGAGAGCAGCACTGGACAGGGCAGGGAGAGTTACCTTGGTGCTGTAAGGAGCGGAGCCCCTCCTGGGCCTGTGTGTGCAGCTCCTCCAGGTGAGGTGGTCTCCCGCTGGGGAAGAAGACATTGTCCTGGTGCTCATCTACTACAGATCCTGGCCCCTGGCTGGGCCCAGCACTCTGGCGATTATCACTCTCAGCTTTGGCAGAGCCTGACGGGATGAGAAGAGGAAGTGAGGCCCAAAGACATATGGGTCCTGGAGATTCTTAAGTGTGGTAACACAGGCACGTAGCACACATACATTCAATGTCTACCCCTACGACACACAGACCCCATGTACACACACTAACTACACCCTAGAGTGCATTTATCGGAGTAATCACATCACATAATAAATGGGACCACACAAAGTCAACACTCAGAACACACAGGCAAACTACATCCACACAACATTCACAGGCTTCATCGATGTATACATACAAACAGTATCCAAGCATAAACGCATGAATGTACCTACACCAGCTTCCACAGACCCACATGACACCATTCTGCATACACACAAACAGCATCTAAGTATACACAAAACTGCATCCATGGGTCACTCAGGGTTCCACACAGACACCCCTAATACACACAGAGCCCACAGCAAATACATTTGTCTCTGAGACCTGAAGCTTCACTTTAAAGGAAAACAAACCACCTTCTTCAAACTGCCCCTTGGCCCAAGTCCAAGGAGAAGATGCCATGGAAAACCAGGGAGCTGTCAGTCATAATCAGGTTCCCAGAAAACCCTGAGGGAAGGATAGGCCAGGGACACCTACTTACCCATATGGCTGCCCTCTGGAAGGATGGGCAGGGGAGGGGAGAAGAGGAAACAGGCCCCTCAACTCCCACTGGGAACTCAGCCTCTCTTGGGGGAACAGGCCAGGTATGGCCTCTCCTGGAGGCCCTGGCCTGGCCCCAGGTACAGAGGAGCCAGGGCTCCATTACAAAGGCTCCTGTTACAGGCCCTGCCCACAGAGGGGCTAGTCATCTAATCCTGAGGATGGGGGCTGCGTCAGCACTTTGCAGTCCCAGCCCATCTTTAAATGAAACCCACAACATAAGCAAAAGCGCTCGGAGGGTCATGTGACCCTGGCAGTACCCTGAAGAGGGGCAGAAACAAAACAAGCCCTTTAACGGGGCCCCACCCCGGGAATGCTCGGACACCTGCCATCCCAGTCAGTGTTCATCAGCACCAGAGGACCTGCCTGCCCCCAGAAGCCACAGGAATCCTACCTACCAAGGCAGAGCTAAGAGGTGCCCCCAGGAGGTCTTGGGTGTCCCGCCCTCCCCGAAAATCCCATGGTTTTACAAGTGGAGAAAGAGGCTCAAGTGGAGTGTGACTCGCAAGTCTGCATCCCCAGAAGGCACCCTTCCCTCCAAAGACACAAAACACTAGAGCTCCTCCAGACAGGAGCCAGGTCTGAAAGCCAGGCTCCCAGGCCCTCCTCCAAGTCTGGTTCCCAGGGCACGCTTTCCTTGTTGCTCCCAAACACCCTCCCCACCCCAGATGACTCCCGAGGGGGCTGCCCTCTCTCTAAACTGGGATATTGAGCTATACCCAGTAAGGAGTGGGCATCCCAGCAGGAAGGCAGTCTGGCCCTAGGGCAGCAGACTCCAAGGTCAGAGGCACCTGGTCCATCCTCCCGGATCCCAAGCAGCACTCAGACAAAGGCAGTCACAAAGCCGCTGGACAAAAGCATGGCCGCACCTCAGACTGCGGCCAGCCTGGTAACCAGCACCCTGAGCGCACCGTTCCTCCTAGCCTTGGTCCCCACTAACCTCAGGGTCTGGCAAAGGGAGCTGTCACCCCTTCCCTACCCTACCCCCACAGCCACACCCACTCACCCTTCTTAAACACCTCAAGAAGGACTGGGAGGTGCCGGCCCAGGAACACTACCATGTCTGCAGCAGATGGTCCCCAGAGCACCAGACTGCACTTCCACTCCAGCCCAGCCCCAAGGGGACTCGGGAGACGCAGGGATGCAAAGCCAGCTCCCAGCCAGCTGCACAGCGCAGCTGAGCACAGTTGGAGCAGCAGGGGGAGGGGCTGCTCCAGGTTCTCCTCCTACCTCTGCCACAGAACCCGCCCAACCGCTAACCCAAGCAGGACACAGGGAAACTGAGGCCCAGAGACTGGGTGCTTTGCTCCTGAGTATGACTGAAGGCAGTAGAGAGAAAACACACAATTCTAGCTGGGGGTCACTGACTCTGCCCCCAAGTTCTTGTCCAAACATGTGGGTGCCAGAACTAAGGGAAGGGCCCCAGCTGCCAGATGGTAGGTGGAAGAGCCACCAGACCAGACTCACTCGGCATGGTGCTCATGCCCAAAACCCTGCCATCCTGGCTGATATGGTAATTTTCTGAGGAAAGAGATCAGCCCATGGAAAACCAGACAGGAGCCCAGAGCTGCCTGTGAGGATGGCAGGGACAGAGGTGGCTTCAGAATACAACACATAATGTGAGGCCAGTGAGATGCCCCGAGAAGCAGAGTGACTGATGGCAACAGCCACTCCGCTCACACACTCGCTGAAGAACTTTCTTCCCACTTCGGCATGTGATTAGAGAGGCTGAGGAACTGCAGAGCACACACCTGTTCCTTCAGCTAGGGTCTTCCCAGATGCCATCCTAGAAGTGCTCACCAGGCACTGGAATAAAGAATTAGTCCAGAAGCAACCCGGAGGTGGAGTTTAGAAAAAAAGCCAGAGGTGCAGGGGAGGGGAGAGGAGGGAAGGGCTAGGGGAGGGGAGAGAGTAGAGGAGTTAGGAAGAACGTCAGGTTCGGGTGCAGATTCAAATCTACCACACAAGCGGTGACCTTTCATAAAAGCAAGGTCAATATCTGGCATGGCTTGGTGGCACATACCTGTAATCCCAGCACTCAGGAGGCTAAGCCAGGAGGGTGGAAAATTCAAGGCTAGTCTGGGCTACATGGCAAGAACTTATCTCCAAAAAAAAGGGGAGGGGAGGTCTGAAAAGATGGTTCAGTGATTCCAAGTGCCTGCTACTCCTGAGGAGTTGGTTTCCAGAGCTCATATTGGGTAGCTCCTAACAGGCTGCTTGTAACTCCCTCCAGGACTGGACACCCTCTTCTAGACTCCTCAGGCACCAACACATGAAGAGCCGATACATATACATACATAAAAACTGATGAAGAAGGGCGGTGGTGGCGCACGCCTTTAATCCCAGCTCTTGGGAAGGAGAGGCAAAACTACACAGAGAAAATCCTATCTCAAAAAAAGAAAAAAAAAGTTAAAGAAGCAAGCCATGTGTAGCAATGCATACCTGTTTCTTCAGAATATGGTCACACCAGGCAGCGGAGGCGCATGCCTTTAATCCCAGCTCTAGGGAGGCAGAGGCAGGTGGATCTCTGTGAGTTCAAGGCCAGCCTGGTCTACAGAGAGAGTTCCAGGACAGGCTCCAAAGCTACAGAGAAACCCTGTCTTGAAAAAAAAAAAAAAAAGTCACAAGTTTTAGACTGCCTGGTCTACAAAATGAAACCCTGTCTCAAAAGCAAAAAACAAAAGGAGCTGAAGAGGTGGCCGAGCACTTTAAGAGCACTGGCTGCTGCAGCCAAGGTTTCATTCCCAGCACCCACAGGGTGGCTCACAACCATCTGGAACTCCAGTTCCAAGGGATCTGACTGTCTCCTGGCCTCTGAACACCAGACACACATATGCACATACATACACACAAGCAAAACATCCAGTTACATAAAAAATGAAAAGAGAATTTAAACGAATGTAAAGAAAGAAAAAGAAAGGGCACAAGAGCAGAGCCCTGAGCCATGAGGCGCTGGCCAGGACAGGCACTGCCTAATGCAGAAGCCCGGAGGTAAAGCACAGCTGGAATAAATACAGTGAGCTGGGGGAGGCCTGGCAGGACCCAGGTCAGGTGACCTCTAGCCCTTACCCTGGGACATCAATGAAGGTTTCAGGTGGGCAGTGACAGTCACTATGAGATCCTCCAGAAAGTCCACAGTAGCTGAGGCTAAAGGGTCTGTGAACTGTTCTGCTGCAACCCAAGCGTGAATCGACCTGTCCCTTACTGCAACCCTCCCTCAGGAGCTAAGAGTTCAGTGGCTCCAAAGTTCCAAGACCACTCAGCACCTCCTTCTCCACTGAGCTCTGGCCTCTCAGAGACTAATCAAACACTGACCAGAACCTCATTCTAGAAGATAAACATTTAGCCAGACAACGGTGGTACACGTCTTCAGTCCCACCACTTGGGAGGCAGAGGCCAGCCTGGTCTATAGAGTTCCAGGACAGCCTGGGCTACATACACAGAGAAACCCTGTCTCAAAAACCAAAAAAAAAGAAAGAAAAAAAAAAGTGGGGGGGGGGCATTATGGGGCAGGGCACGCAGCAACAAACATCTACACAACAATCTCAAGAAGTGAGGGTTTTGCTTTAGTTTTGTTTCTCCGTGAAACAGCTCTGACTGCCCCGGATCTCACTCTGTAGACCAGACTGGCCTCGAACTCACAGAGATGCTCCTGCCTCTACCTCCCAAGTGCTGGGATTAAAGGTGCGCATCACCACCGCCCAACAAAGTAGGTGGTTTTTATTGTTCTGTTTTTGAACAAAGTAGACCTGGCTGACCTGATACATGTTAGCTTGGGTTGGCCTCAAACTTGTGGCAATCCTCCTGCATCAGCCTCTCAAGTAGTAGGACTGCAGGTATGTACCATCACACTTAGTAGAAATAGGCACTTTTTTTTTTCTTTTGAGACAGGGTCTTTGTAGCTCAGACTGGCCTCAAACTTGTTAGACAGCCAAGGATGACCTTGAACTAATTTTAATTATTACATAATTTGGAGTGCACACACCACTACACGCCTTTGGAGGTCCAAACAGTCAGGGTGGGTTCTATCCTTTCACCACGTGGACCCCAGGAACTGAACACAGGTGGCTGGGCTTGGCAACAAGCACTCCGCCCACTCACTGACACACGTCTCTGACTCCCCTGCCTCCGCCTCCCGAGAGTGCTGGGATTACAGACTTGCACCACACCCAGTGTCTGGGCTGCTGGAAAGCAAACCCAGAGACTCCTGCATGCTAAGCTAGGTACACACTCCACCAACTGAGCCACACCTTTTGCCCAGAGTGGGCACTTTCGTCCCATTTTACAGATGAGGAATGAGGCAGTGGGGGTAAATGCTACACACACA